GGTCATCGTGCCCAATGTCTTTCACCCACCCAAGTAGCACCTGGGCACGTGAGTGAGATCCTGACAATAAACACGGTAGGGGTTAAACCTGAAAATCCTGAACTAAAAAAATAATTAGTTCATATAATTTGTATCCAACGGACTATTGTATTATTTTATTTCAAACTGTAATGACTCTTTCAGAAATTATTGAAATTGCAAGAGAATAAGGACAAAGAATTGAGTTTATTAAAAAGGATATGAAATCTAACAACTGACTCAAAAAATCAAAATCAAACAATTGACTCTAAATTAAATATTAATAGAAACAATCTCAGGCGATTTTTTCATCAAAGCATTTTCGAAAAATGCGAAAGCAATGTTCAAACTTGTTGCTTTGATTCCAAAATCTGCCTGTCGCGAAATATCTCCTTGCACATAAAATTTCATACATGTTTCTACGGAAAGAATTCTAATCTATTATATATTTCAAATTGTGGTAAGTTCACAATTATAAAATTCAATTAATTAAACCATTTAATACTATTATAAAAGCGAAGATAAAGTTGGAAATTATTAATTACTATAACAATAATTAATTATTGTAACAAAATATATTATCAATATATCAATAATAACTGCATGTTTCATAGCAACGAAGTCGGAGGGTATCCGTCTTCTCTACTACGAAATGCTCAAATGAAATTCATTTTAATACATATTTATAATTTGTCTATTCGTATGGATATTCATATGAATATTTCGCTTTTGCAAACAATTATATTGAATATATTTTGTTTTTACAAGTAAATATTATAACTGCATGTATTCAAATTAATTGTTAAATTCGCGATGTGCAAGAAGCCCTATCCTGATCTAATACATAAAAATCTTGAAAGATGTGTTACTACTCACGGATATAAAAAATATCCGAGGTCACTATGCTCATCAAAAATTCTACGTATACAACCAGTCACCCGTGCCGATTCGGATCTTTCATCCTACGACATGATTGAGTGACCAGAGGAACAAAAATGCATGCGACTCACAGCGAAAAATGACGTTATCTGCACTGGACTAAGGAAAGTCGTCGTGAAGATCCTCATCAAGCAGATACCACTGAGAATCCTTTGTAGAAGTGAACACCATGAAAAATTTCTTGAAAAACATAAAGACACAGTGTTATTTGTGAAAATTTTAATAATGGTAAAAATTGGGGTTTTAATAATTTTAAATGTTTCTATTTTATAGTTATAGTTTTATATTAGACTTCAACGGAAAGAAAACTGTAGAAAATAGAATTAATTCAAGTACAATATGTTAAAGTACTTACATTCTTCAATTTAGTCAGCTTCTGTAGCATCGTAAGATTTTTAGAGAATAAGGGGAATTGGAGATTGTAGAGACTCTGTAACAAAACATAAAACATTAGAATTTGTATTTAAAAACGTGGCAGAATCTTAAGTTGCAGATAATGAAAGATTCTTACATTCTTGGCTTTAGAGCCACCGTTGGATTTTCCCCAACAAAATGCAGAAAATTGATAAAGCGTCTGTAACAAACGTCAAACATTGTACTTTGTTGTTAAATTTGAAAAACTGACTAAATTGAAGTACAATATATAAATTACTTACGATCTTGATCTTCAGGAGAGGCCTTATCCTCTTGAGCACTGACTCTAATGTATCGAAAACGAATGTTGAATAAGAAAAGATATAAAAAAAGAAAAATAAAAGACTATCAACGCGCGTGTTTAAGTATCAATCAGCGGACTCACTGACTCTAACTTCGTGAATTATAATTTAAACGAATTAATAGTCTAATTTTATGAGAGCCATTTTAGAAAAATATTAAAATATTGCGCAACAAACACTGACTCTACCGACCTCATTGCGCGCGGTCACAAAAATTTTCTGAAAATAAAGCTGATTAGGAGAGGGGTAAAAAGTACATTTATTTAGAAAATACTGCTATTTTTCTTGGAAATGATTATGAACTTGAGTATACATCAAAGATATTAGTTGGAAATTATAAAGTGTTTTTCAATATTTGCAGAAAATTTGTAGAAATTGTATTCTGAATGGTCGTTATTACAGTGAAGTATGCATATTAGTAATATATCACGTATATTATAAATATTCGAAAATGTTTGCACAAATTATCACAGGTAAATGTAATTTAAAAAGGCATACACGTGTGAAATCTTGCTCTGAATCGTTTAATTACGTGTCAGCATTCGGAGAATGTATATTGTAGTACAAAGTAAAGTACGAAAACTCTGAATTTAATAATCTAACACAATAATTTATATTCACTTGAACGTATATACCATTAAGCTACTACGATCTCCACATTCGAAATAAAATATTAATTGATTTCTTTTTTTCCATTCTTATATACTCTTTTACTTTCTTATATACAATATATAATTATGTACTCTGAATTGTACTTCAAATATATATAAATAATATAGAAAGTGTTACCTAGAATAAATAAAATGTTACCAACGTTTCGTGAAAGTTCATCAGATTGTTCATTAGTGATCGTGGCGTCCATATATTCTATGCTATCTTTGCAACCAAGGAATAACCTGCACAGAAAAAACCAAAAGTTAGAACAAATATATCAAATGAAGGCAAATATATAAAAGTGAAACGATAATTATCAAATTCTATTAAAAAAGTATACAAGACAAGATAACCGGTAACCGTAAGAGTGAAATTGATAATTGAAGAAAAATCAGCACGAAAAGCTCTAAAATCTTACTCGATGCTTACTTGATGCTCATTGAATCCTTAAACACAAGCGTATTAGTTAAATTAATTAAATGATATTATTAATGATATTATAAATGGAAGTAAAAGAGTGTCAAGGAAGCGACGCTATCGAAGAGACGCCACCGATAAATTGGAGAAAGTTACGAACCTAATGCGACGTAATACGTGCTGTTATTACAAAATTCGACCGCTGAATGAACTCTCCGCGACACGTCTCGTCTCGCAATTGAGGAAATAGTAGGGGATGGGGCAAACCTGTCCGAACAGGCACGATAATTGAGACGAACATAAACATTGTGCTCGTGTTGTTGTTTTGAATTTCGAGTTTCACGGCTCCCTTTATTTGAGAACTGAACAATTTCATTATATTATGTAATAAAATTATTATTCTAACTATTAAATACGTACATTCTTAATAAATTATACATACATATGTACATATATAACAATAAGTTAGTCAATTACAAGATTACAACATTTGTACTAATTAGAATTGAAAATAAATTATGGTATAAAATTATAAACTACTTTCGCATAGTATGTTCTATTTCAATATTTATGCTATCATTTCTTTAATTGTTGAAAATTATATGTAATTTTTTGGTTAAATCTTACCTTGAGTTGATGTAAAAAATACATGTTTTATCTTAAAAAAACATAAACACAAATCTAACAACTATTGATTTAACTTTTTACCTGAGAACTTCTAGGTAATACGTCTTTCTGGATGATTCTTCTGAATAATACTTTATTTTTCACAGACGAGGTGTGCTTCCTTCCGCCATGTTCCCGCTTTAAAATCGTGAGAAATATCGATATGTTCGAGAATCGTAAGAAGTATATTCTGTGTTTCACCGTTGGGGCGCTGCAATCGCGTGTTTTGCACGAAATGATAACTTGCAATAAAAAATAAAAAAAACTCTGGTTTGAATCAAATACAAAAAATTCATGAAAAGTATTTAAAAAAGAATGAAAATATTCATACGCTTGAGGAAAAATTGTGACATGAGACATTTTATCACATTACGCAGTAGAATTGTTATTTTAATTATTAAATACATACATTCTTAATAAATTATTGTTGGACTTAATATTAAAATTGTTAAGAATTATGTAATATGAAGTTAAGGATTCAACAAATAAGTAGGAAATGTTACAATAAACGCATATAATAAAACACACACACACACACACATTTATGTAAGAATGAATTAGTCAATTACAAGGTTACAATACTTGTATTAGTTAGAATTGAAATTAAATTTTGGTATAAAATTATAAATAACTTTTAGCATTGTATGTTCTATTTAAATGTTTATATGCTGTTATTTCTTTAATTGTTGAAAATTATACGTAATAATTATTTGGTTAAATCTTACCTTGAATTAATGCCAAAAATACATGTTTTACTTTACACAAATACAAAACATAAACACAAATCTAACAACTATTGATTTAACTTTTTATCTGAGAACTTCTGGGAATACGTCTTTCTGGATAATTCTTCTGAATAATACTTTATTTTTCACAGATGAGGTGTGCTTCCTTCCGCCATGTTCCCGCTTTAAAATCGACCGTGAGAAATATCGATATGTTCGAGAATCGTAGGAAGTGTATTCCGTGTTTCACCGTTGGGGCGCTGCAATCGCATATTTCGCGCGAAATGACAACTTGAAATAAAAAATAAAAAACTCTGATCTAAATCAAATACACAAAATTCATAAGAAATTCTTAAAAAAGAACGAATTTATATATTCGATAAAAAATTTTTGTTAATTTAAATTGTTATAATTTTGAAAACAAATTATAGAATAACTAACTTGATTTTATTTTAAAGACTCTCCACTTTAACAATCCTGAGTTTGTTTCGTTCAAAGATATTTATTTTTACATCACACAAATCGAAATGTTCCCTTTACAGTGAGCCTTTAAAATTATCTGTACGATTTGTTTTCGCTATTTTACTGAACTTTAAACTAATTCATTAAATGAACTTTAAACTAATTTAATTGAGTTATAACAACAAATTACCTTGTATATACATCATTGAATTCGTCTTAACAAATGACTTCAGAATTTCAAAAATGAACGATTTGCAAAAAATAATTTACATTACACAATATAACTTTATACCAATATAAACAATATTTGTAGAAACATTTCTTTCATACTTCCAAACTTTTATAAAATCGAGTTTGCAGGATTCATTCAGACATATTACACGTACACAAGTAAAAAACATTATATCTCTATCTCTATAGTCAGATTTAGACAATTCTTAACCTTTAAGCAATAAAGTAAATTTAGACAATTCTCTAATTTACATTGCGCAGAATCTATAACAGAATCTAGCAGCGCTTAAACAGCCGCAAATTCAATTTCAAAAATCACTGCTATTTAGAAAATTATCTGTTTATATTCCTGTCTAAACTATTATGACAATTACATATATTATTATACATTTACTGCATAATATCATAACTATTTCACTATCTGTTATCTCTTATCATGATAATGCAAACTAACATTTCATAAATCGTGGAATACCCGCAATAAGGTTATACTGACTAGGTTATGTTTACATTCTTCTCATTTATCAGATTCCCGCCATGGTTAAAATAGTCTATGTTCTATATACTGTAACATATGTAACAAAATCAGTAGTACCAAGTTAAATAGAAAATAATCTCTATAATCACAAATTTAAATATCATTCCTTATTATTAAAATACAGTCATTATGTCTACTGTTATAATTTTGCATTGTACAAATGAACAGTTTATACATATTTTTAAATATTAGAATACAATTACTGAACCAACAAAATATTTCGTAAGTAATATAAACGTTCCTAAATATATCAAAACTATAAATGACCAAAATATTTTAGTATTACTGTGCTAGGGATACAGAAGATCAATGCACTATACTCAAAATTCTCAACAAACAGTCACTTTTTCTATGCCCATTTTATATATAATTCACATGACACATCTGTGTTCAAGGAAAGAGAATGAAGATGAGGGGACTGTTTCCGCCCCTAAAGTTTTTCTGCTTCTTAAATTTGTATATTATTCACTAGAAAAGTTTTATTGTCATGAAATAGTTACAACGTAGTATTATGCTCTTCGACAAGTCTTGTACATATTACAATTCCTAGAAGTAATTGTATATTTATGTACACCTTTTGTACAACTTTTTTTAATAACGATTACGATTTTGAAAAGAAATTAACGTGATCTTCATCGATTCGACTCATGGTATGTATTTATTTTATATATACTATCGAATTGCCGTTAAATTACATATTGACAATCTCTGTTTCACAAATTAATAAGTATCTCGTGATGTGATACATCCTTTCAATTAACATAATTGATGATTAAACATCTGACTTTCTTTTGTTCAATAGAAATTGCGCGTTACATCGCTGGCATATTATATTCAAATAATATGTTCATGTCTGTAAATTAAAAATGAGTATATGTAAAAAATGTAATTATTCTAAAAAACGTTTTATCTTTAATTTATGTAACACTAAATTTGTGTTAGTATTATTCATATCTGACGCAAAGACAAAAATATTGAAAAATATTTTAATTATTGCATTTCAGTTTTGCAAAAAGGTTCAAAAATTTTTAAGATATATTAATAAACATTTTTTATGATAGTAAAAATATTTGTTACATAATTTTAAATGTTATAAATTGAATTTTAAATAAATACTGATATGTATGTTTGTGTGTTTTATCTCTATATCTCGTGTGTTTTGGGCTCATATGTTCTAGGCTTTACGTATGATGTCAGCAATAGTGCCAAGCACACACAATGTAACTGATTCTAATCAAAGTTATGACCATGCAACAGAGCGACAGAAACTGTTGGAAAATTTATTAGCTGCTGCAAAGAAATGTCATATTAGATTTGGTGGACGTACTGAATTAGCAACTGAATCTGATATATGTGTTACGCAACTATGCCACATATTTGAATCAATCTTTAGTCATGGTTTGCGTACAAACTGCATTGAAAAAATTAATTCAGCTTTAAGGTAATAAATAGTATTCTATATAAAAGTTAAAATATCATCTATTTCGCTAATGTTTGTTATGAAATATATATGGTGAAAAATTATATTCTGTAATGATGATATTTGTTTACCATTTTTATTCAAGATAATGTTGATATTATGATATTGTGCATATGATGATCTACTTTTTGTTTTTTACTTCTTATCATCTCAAGTATGACTTTACGGATGTATGTTTAAGAGATAATGTTATGTGATGAGTAATAACTAGAGATATATCCTGTTACATCAATTTATGTTACTTGCATTTTTATAGGCATGTTTCAGACATAGTATCTGGTAGTAATATAAAATCATACAACACATCAGATATGGCATTTTGGCCATGTATAAAGGAACAGTTAACTTGGCATGAACAAGAACGTTTCAGTGTGTTAAAAAAAGTTCATACAGATTATGGCAGGGGTAGAGCATGGCTCAGAGCTGTTTTAAATGAACGTTCTTTAGAACGTCATTTGCATGCTATACTCGATTTTTCAATATTATCTCCATTTTATGAAGATTGGGCATTTTTACTTGACCAAGAACGAAGTGCTGTATTACCAGATGTAGCAGCAGGTATAACATCAATTTTGTCTACTAGTTGTATTAATTTATTTACATAAGATAACTAAATATTATTAACTATTAGGACTTGGTAGTATTTTATTTGCAATTAGAATTGATAATGAAGAATTAGATAATAATTCAAAAAGCAAAGAACTGGAAAAACATAAAGTTTCACTGTCTGAACCAATTATATCATCTACTATACCAGGTAATTGTTTTTCACTTTTTAAGTGCATAAGATTATGTATCATTTTTATATCAATATAATTAATATTGCAATTAGGACCTACTTCAAAACAGAAGCAAAGAAAAAAAGTACCAACTCACATAATTTCTTTTGATAATGAAAATGAAGAACAAGAAAATACAGAAGCTTCCCTTTCAGTTAGTGCACCTCCAACTTGTCTTAATTCTCCTACAGTAATATCAACAAAAGTTTCTACATCACCTAGTTCATCAGTTTTACAATCTCAACACGAAACAAATAATGTTACTACAATAACTAATAAGGAACCTTCTGACTGGGAAAATAGGTAAATACATCTATTATTTCACATTTTAATATTTGTACTTTACATAATACTTTCAAATATCTTTAGTGAAACCTTTGAAGAAGAAAAAGTATTAACGCCAGTCACAAATTCTGGAAATATGGGTGGACTAGTTCCTGTATCACCATTAGATCAAACATTGGATGATATGTTGATAGCGTTACCAAGTTACTTAGATGTATGTGTAAAATATATATTTTTCATGCTTTTATAATTTTCAATTTTACTTTGTATTCATTTTATTTTTTATATAGGACTCATCTGAAGTAGCAGAACCTGCTGTAGAAGCTACTGAACCTCTTACAGATTTAGATATTCATACAGATGCTGATAGTTTAGATATCGAAGCGTTACGAGTAAGATTATTAGCCATGACTGAAATGTTAGAGCAAGCTAAAGAAGACGCTATGACCAGCAGATTACAGCTTGCTCGTTTACAAAGACAACATCAAAATTATCTTGAAAGACACGAATTACAAATACAAGCATTAAATAGGTAAAATTTGTAAAGATAATTTATCTTATGATATAGAAATTTTAATTGTATTTTAATATAATTGTGATTCAATAGAGAAAATGAATTATTAAGACAACAGTTACGCAAGTACGTAACGGCAGTACAAATGTTGAGAAGAGATTCAGATTCTACCACAGTTTCCGAAGAAGATCCAGCATTAGATTATCATTACGAAGCCCAACAATATGAAGAAAAATTAATTCAAGTTGCAGACATGCATGCAGAATTAATGGAATTTAATGCTAGATTAACTTTACAATTAAATGACAGGTAAAATTACATGTTTTATATTAATATTTTATTTTACATTTTATATTCATGTTCGAAAAATTTTCAGGGATAGATTAGTTAAATTGTTACAAGCTGAGTTAGAGTGCCTTCGTGGCCCTATAAATGAAGATGACTTACCATTAGAACCACCATGTCTCATACATATATGGATTCCATCCGCGTTTCTTACTGGACAGCCTTCTGACATACATCATGTTTATCAGGTATCTAAATATAAATTACAACAAAATTATTATTAAATTGTCTGTTTGTTTATTAATTATTACAGATATACGTACGTATTAGGGATACCGAATGGAATATATATAGACGATATGCGCAATTTCATGCACTTTATAGAGAATTAAAAAAACATGACGCAATTGTTACAACTTTTGAATTCCCACCAAAGAAGACAATAGGAAATAAGGTATTTATATTACTTACTAAAAATAACTTACTAAAAAAATGGCATATAATATTACAAGTAACATTCACATTTGTATTTATTCATTTTTATCCAGGATGCTAAATTTGTGGAAGAACGACGTCAAAAATTACAACAATGGTTAAGACGAATTGTTGGAAGATTGGCACAATGTTCTCCAGCATTTGCATCTAGACCAAGTAGACAAACACTTATATCTTTAATGCCTTTCTTTGGGTAATTTATCTCTCAATTCTAATTTCACATTAGACAAACATTTTTAGAAATTTAAACAAAAAGTACAGCAAATATTATTTTTAATATTACCTTTTTTAGTGATAACCCTAATACTGAGGATTCGAGGAAAAATAACTCTACCAGAAACACGTTTTCTTCTTCCCCTCAATACATGGGTTTATAATTATTAACGTTTTTATAGACAATTTGTACATACATGAAGCTTTTTTAATTTAATGTATAAAATACTTATGTTTTGCTCTATATGTGTGTATTTATATATATATATATATATATATTGTTGACAATTGGAGATACGAGCATATGCCTGTATGTAACAGCTATAATTAATATACATTCACACATATGCATATCGTTTATAGACGATATATGTATAAAAGTAACATGTAGTTACTAATTAAAAGTTAATCCTTTTTTTACAAAAGTATGTATTATTTTTTTACAAATATTTATGTGCGATATGTTTAAAATTTTAATTCATATTTAAAGAGAAACTCTAATCCTATATTTTAATCTTTCAATCAGATAAAAAAATATATTTCTTATATATTATATAAATTTATCATATATCTTATATTTTAGAATAAATATTTCAAAATCAATACTAAAAGAGAAAAAAGTTATATTATGAAGTAAATTATATTATGAAATAAAAAAAAAACGATCAATTAATATGTATATAAAAGGTATTATTTAATGAATTAACAAACAAATTTAGATCAAAGAAATTATAGACAATGCATAGAATACAAAAAACAAAGCATTATATGTTGTTTTTATAATTAAATTATATAATAGCGTGTTTAATCTCGTTTTCTAAAAATTTTATTCATGTAAGGCGCCTTAACAGTAATATAAAAAGGTACACTTTTCCATTTATACTTTATGATAAAAATAAAAGTGCATATTGTTATTGGAACAAGTACATACAGTATTATGCTGGTAAATAATACAACTAATCGCATATAAGATTCACAGGTTTAACAAGTAGGAGTCTCACTATGGAGAGGTAAGGTAAGAGAATTTTTAGCAAGAACCAATCATCGAAAAACGTATTCGCGCGTAAGTTTTTATCTCATGAACGTGATGCTTATTAAATAATAAATACATTTTATAACAATGAAATTTCGATCGTAATGTGAATTAGTATTTATACTAAACAACATAGACACTGAGAAGGTTTTTTTTTTACCTTTCCATATTGAGATATAAAAGTTTCTTGTAATAGCAAAGTTTATCGAGTCATTAATATAATCATTCTTAATACTTTGACTGCCGATTGTGTGGAACCATAATGTATTTTCATTATAAAGGAACCAACGATACGCCCGTATATTGTTTTTTATATATTATGTTATATTCAATGACGTTGTGACAAAAGTTTTATATTGGAGCTCGAGCGAGCAACAACATAAATAACAAATCTCGGTTAATCGATATTTGTTGTCTCATAGATTGAAGCCATTTACACTTAATTCGATACAAAATGTATCGAAAAGTAAGTTATCGTTGCGTGGCAGTCAATGTATTAATTGTAATTACATACGCTTCAAACGAATCTATGGAATCTATATTTATAGCGCATCGCAATCATAGCATCATAATCATAGTAAGTTTCGTAACATAATGATACATGATTACATTACTTATAAAATTGATTACAAATTAGACACATTCATTTCAATTCGATATATAATATAACAATGTTTTATCTCGCAATAGGGAAAGAAAAATAATCGAATATATTTGTTAAATAAGTTCATAATATTTCGATGAGAATATAAATTCGACACTTAAATTTAAAAATACAATTGTTTAACAGAAATATATATAAAAAAAAAACAAAGATTTACGATTGAAAGCAATTAAAATATAAATCATTAAAACTTTGAATATCAAATATAAATAATACATTATAATGATAAAATACTCAAAAATAAGATAATAATATATTTTTTATGTACTAAATCTTACATTTTAATTTGCTTTTATATTTTGAAATTTAATAATGCACGAAAAATACAATATATAACTTATCGCTTAAAGAGTATTTTATTCCATAGAAAATATAAGTCCATTTATACATATATGTGTGTAACGTTTTATGAAAGTTCATTAAGATTAAAAAAAAAACTAAATCTCGATCATGTGAAATTAATATACTTTACAATACTGATACATGGTACTTACTTGAAAAATAATTAACAGTATCATTAAATTGTATTGATTAATAGTACTCATTAAATTTACACAGAGATGCGTGTGACCATCTATTCTTTAAATATTATTAAGGTAAATGAAATTTCAAACGAATAAGAAACAAATGACAATAATACAAAATATGTTGAATGGAAAAAATTCTTTTTTTTTAACTAATTCGTAAAATTAAAAATAAAATTCGAAATATAATAAAAATAAAAATGAATATATTTAAAAAATTAATATTTACTATGATTTTGACAATTGCATTGTGCCGTTCGGAAAAGGAGTCTAATCTCTGTTGACTATGGACAGCTCATATTATGGTAATTTCTTTTATACACATATTTTTTTTAAAGTTCGCATTGATCCACAAGTTTTTTTCGTTCAACGAACTTTCGCGAGACGCACGAAAAATACAGAATTCGTTGGCCTTAGTCACTACGTTCCGTACAAAGATTTCATCGTAAACGGCTTTAAATTATTATTTACATTCACTCTCTCTCTTCGCTGACTAATTTTGATTTAGCCCTAGGACAGAGTAGAAGGTGGATAGATCCTTATGTATAAATTATTAATTTTCGATGTACCGTTGTTAACTTCTATGTTCATGATTTTGCATTGTAAGACACTCTTCATACAAAAAAAAAAAAATTATTTTACAAAACTACATTTACTAAAAAACGATGTTACGTTGTGTAACTGAATTGAAAAGACAGACGATGTTTATAATGAATCTTTATAACGTACAAATTAAAATATAAAATTTAATTTTTTAAAATTGATGACAATGTTCTAAATACTCTCATGAAATTCTAAATAATCTCTCCAAAAATGTGTATATATGAAAACTTTCTTTTATGAGAAAACATTACGTAATGAAGGCTTTGTATTTCTCTACATAGAATAAAAAACCATAAATAATATTCTACATATTTATTAAAAAGCAATGAATAAAAGCTGCATTTACCTTTACCAAATATATAAAATTCTCAGAGTATACTTTTACAAGTTTCACATGTTAAAAAATTTACATAATTTTGAGTATCTTACAAGTTACAATCATTATGTTCTTTTTTATTATTTTGTTAGTTTATTGTTTTGTTATTATACTACAACGATACGTCTGAACAGTCCTAGGGATAAATAAATTTGTAATTGACATAATCATTTTGCCATTCTGAAGCCTGCTCAGATTTAGATATGTAAAGAGAATGTACCGAACAGTAGTCACATAAGGATCATTTAGTTAACAAATTAAATACCTATATTGTTTCATAGGTAATCGGAGAAATTTGAGCCTAATTTTATTTAACTTTAAATTTAGGTATATCCAAATAACAAGTAATCTTTAGTTTAGCAGTCTTTACACACATTCTTCTGTTTGTGAAATTGACAACAAAAGCTAACAATAATGATAACACATCATACAAGTACATGAAGGTTAAAAAGTGGAGCCTCATGAGTGTAGTCAAAAATAATAAGGCTAGCTTTTTCCTAAAATAATTTCTTTCTCTGCTTATTAATAAAAGTATGAAACTTTATTTACTACGATTAATACAATGTATTTACGTTAAAACATTTTTTCTTCTCCTTTGTTTAAGTGAAAATATGCCAATAGATGAAATAGACGAAATACGTCGATAAATTTTGTTTTCTTTTTTTAGAGCGCCTGCAAATTTAACATTTACATTCATGCATTCTTATAGCAGTGGGATAGATGTCGTTAGGTCCATAGCGAAAATAAATAAAAGAAAATCTTCTTAAGCTAGTAGATAGCAGATTAGTTTGTATTGTATTACTTGTTAACTAGCCAGTGCATCTTGTATATTATCCTGACTCTCTCATTAACCTTCCTGTCTATTTAGCACACTTTGCCACGCATTCTAAGGCATGAACTTTCTAGTGAGCTGGATAAAAGAGAGCATAGACCAGTGTGCCAGGTACTTTATGTGTTAACATTCTTCACTGTTGTAGCTAGATACAATATAATATTAGAAAGTATATTACTATTGTATTTAAAAAACTGTTCTTCCCTGCTCTCGATCTTATATTTTATTAAGATCCTTATTCCTCAGACCATAACTATAAAATCGTTTGCAAAACGTTCTGCATTAGAAAGCAAAAAATAAATTGAACTTCTTGAGTGGCTATGTCTGCATATACTAAATAATAAGTTAAACCATCGCACGAACAACTCTTGATTTTTTCTTTATATAGAGTGAATAGTTTGTTATACAAAGATATTTATAACAATATTTGATATTTCTTTGATTATTCTTATTGTAAAAACATTTAATAGAGAAATGAATAATTGCTAATTATTAAAAATATATTTAAAATATACACACATACACACACAAATACTACTATAAATTTAAATAATTAAATTTCAGAGTACTCCGAATACTTATAATATTCATACAATATTAGATAATATGATAAGTTTCAGCGTTATTCGTGGATGGTTTAATCAGGATTCTGATATTACAACACATGCATACTGTTATTTGTATAGAACGCAGATTATAAATTTTTTCATTATGATCTACGTTTATACAAAACCCTACACGCACACCCATACTGTGCCAAGTTAGGGAGCCATTTGTATGCACATCTGGCTATGGCTAAAGCACATATCGTTATTTGTTACTTCAATCAATGTTTAATTTTACCACTCGTCATTTTTACTCATTACATTTCCACCTTATATCATTAGGTTCATTCTATCATACATCCGTCAACCTGTCATTGCATGCTGTATTGGTTGTACATATTCAGATAGCAAACTAATATAACGCAAATTAAACAAAAAATTTTGTAGCCCTATGGTAATATAGTTATTAAAGAATAGAATATATTTTTCCAATTAATTTTCATAAATTATTTCATGACACTGAACACTATAATTGAACAAAGTGCTTATTTAGTTTAAAAATAGAAACTTATCACCTAAGAGATATTACTACAAAAAAAAGCTATGCAAAACTACACGTAATACAAAATAAACTATCATGACAATTAATTTATGCCTTTATCTTACATACGCGACCTTAAAAAAAAAAAAAGAGTAAAGAATGTACGTGAATAATTCTAAAAGAATATAATTCTAAAAAATAATGTACCATAGGGATACACTATTTTCGAGCTCCTCGTATAAATAATAATTTGGATATTTTCAGCATATAAGTAATAATACAAAACAATACAAAAAATTCTAATGAATTTGTTTCAGTATGCAATTGAATCATTTCAATTACAAAGATCTAATGAAAAATTTATAAAGGAGTACCGATGTACATATCCAGGCACATGTACCCATTCTGTATCTGTATAATTTTGCTTTTTCCAACAATCAAATTTAATACTCTTTGACATTTGAATATTTATCCCTGTATACAAAACTAAAGTTGTTTAGCACATTTTAGCACTAAATTTAGAATACACAATTTTTATTAGTCTTTCTCCCTGTAGAACACAATGTTCATTCCTAAATGTCGTTTTTTTAGTTATCACAAATTATTGTTCCTCGTATTTATTATTGTTTGAAACATTAACGGAGCTCAGATGCTTTCAATATTTTATATCAATGCAAATATAACTTTTTAATTACACATTCACGATGCCCGAACGTTGGGTCGCACTGGAAACAGGCTGCTTTTTCGGTAACTTTTCTTTGTTGGTATATGCTTTCATATCAAAGTAAACCACTTTCTACCCATGAAGTCATTCAAAAAAAATATATATATATATGTACCAATTGGGTTTGTGAACATTATTCTGTAAGGTAAAGAGCAGGACTATGGATTTGGAGGAGGTGTAGTTGGTGTTGTACGTGAAGGAGACGTACTGGCAACCATTGTTGGACTGGCTGGCTGTTGTAATGGCAGGAACGCTGATCCCAAGCTAGGTTTTAACTGGAATGCTACACACGGCTTTGGGCAATAGTCTAGTTTGCTCAAGTCTATCATAGGTCGCCTATACATACAAATACAATTGTTTCAGTAACGCTAATGTTCGATATTTCTAAATGGAAGACAAATATTGATTTTAACTAAATGAATTTTAACTTTTAGCGAATTTAAATTATTTTTTCTGAGCAATACGAGTATTATATAAAATCTGTCCAATTTGATGTAAAAAATAACTGACAGAATTTATAAATGAATTATCACGATAGACATTTTCTACACATTATACTAATTTTAAAAGAAACATGCATAGAACATATATCTTCTTCGCATATATACCTGGCATCCTCTACAAATTTGAGATTGACTTTCTCACAGCCATCAGGTGGTTCTCTTGCAAGGAACCTATTAATGTGAGGAGAGGTGCCAAGACGTCCTTCTCTATCTTGTTCAGGAGTTGAACCACGACTTCCACCTTAAAGATAAATTAAAATGTCAGAATTAATAATCATATAAAGATAATGAATAAGTAACACTGGATATTGAAAAGCATATATTTTTATTCCATGCTCTTAATAACTATTACATAATTCTTAATAACATTTATAAATTCAAAAAAAAATTAAACATTCATATAAAAAATAAAAAATAATATGTGATAATAGCTTTATACACCAAAGTTAGACATCATTCTACTTTATTAATAATAATATATATATATAGATAAATCTGTGAAGCCAGGAATTATATTTTGTATGATACTTGTATGTATGATGTTAAAATTATGAATTAAAGAAGTTGCTACAAAATTGAAATATAACTTAAGAAATCTAGAAATAAATTAAGAAATCCATTATCATGCAAATATATATTTAAAACAAATACATTTCATGTGTTTTAATAAGTATTTCTGAATAAATACTTTAAAATATATAAAATTTGAAACACCTATTAAAATGAGATACTGCGTGCAGGTATCAATGCAATAATAAGAAATACATTTTAATTTAATTTATTAAAAATAGATTCATTTACCATATAATGTCACAATGTATTATAAACATTCAATTTGGCATTATTATTCCATGAAAACATCAATTTTTAGTCAGTTAAATTTAATTATGTAAAATCAGAAAATAATTCCAGGTGTAATATTAAGAACAACTGATTTTTGTATCTTATAAAGTATACATATTTTCATATTGAAAAAAATAATAATAACTCATGCACATACTCCAGATGATATGTGTGTGTACATATATATGTATATGTATACATATTTATGAAATAGTAAAGAATTTATAGACATATAAAGTCTCATTAACTATCTGGATAAGGACATTCAAAAAAAAAAAAAAAAAAAGTGAAAGAGAGAAAAGAACAAATATATTTGAGCAAAACGGATTTTGTGAAAAATAAAAAGAATGTTTCCGCAAATATGCGCCAACCTTGTAAGAGATCGCTAGGCGGACGGGACGCATCCATAAGACCAGGAATCAGCGGAGACTCAGAATTCCTAGATGGAGGGCCTGTCTCAACAGGCACACACCATAGTTAGTCTGTTATTTATAGTGTTACCAGTAACCAGAAATACTTCACACATACATATATGTATATACTTTTATTTAAAAAAAAACAAAAACATGATGTTCTTTATATTTTTAAAATTACACAAAAAAAGAAACAACTACTAGTATTATAAACACTAATAACAAACATTGCATGTAATCATTAATCTGGTGGTGTTAAAATTAATGTTCAGATCAGGTCAGTTTCCATAATTTTCAACATAAAATTTGTAAAGTTCATTTTCTAAAAACATTGACAACTACTTCATATATCTAAACACTATTAAATAATACAAAACAAAACATAAACTTACCTGAAGAATAAGAACTGGAGGGAAGGTCAGTAGCTGGTGTTTGTGTATTCACACTGCGAGTAGCCCTCAGTAGATCTGCCAATGGGGCACGATGGCCTTCCGGTGTAATTTGTTCACGATATCGTGCATACTACAAGAACAATTAAATTTTTTATGTTTATATTTAATTTTAAAATAATCGTAAACAAATCAAAAGCATACTTTGTCTTCCACTGGATGATCAGGATCACTAGGGTTAGTTGTAGATTTTAGAACCAATCCTTCAATTTCTTGATTTAGTCCTTCAATAGAAGAACGCATAGGAGGCCTCATTGGTTTCACAGGGATATTCATAGGACTTGCCTTTGTACTCAAACTAAATTGATTGTCTGGTATACAATAATAAAACTAATATGTCAATAAACTCTAAAAAAAACAAAGATTTGTTACGCGAGTACCCATTCCTAAATGAACTTACGTATAGACGTTTGTGAGGCAATGCTAGGTAAAACTGTATGATCTGCAGGGAAAGCTGGTGGTGGTCCACCTGGCATTATAAGTCCAAATGCTGCTGTTCGTTCTCTACTGCTGGTACCTTCTTTATTTGTACGTTGCAACCTGTTATACATTTTTCTGATTAGAATAAATAGATATGCAAAGTAGATATTATAGTAATATATCGTGTCATTATTATATCTTTTATCATAGAACCGCAAAATTTATCACTATAATTTAAGATTCTACAATCTTAATGATTTATACATACCGATGCCTGAAAAATACCAATTTTTCATCTGTGGTACTTTGCTCTGTAGGATGGCGAGTATGCAATTTTCTTGGTTCATTGGACCATTCTTCTGTCTATAAAAACATAATTTCATTGATTTTACATTGTGCATAAAACATATAGAATATCAATATATTATATGATAGAAGATACGTTATGCAAATGCAATGAAATGTGAATAAAAATGGAGCAATCAAGCAAATACACATATTTAAAATAAAGTAAAATTTACCTGTGTAGATTTATCAACCAATAGAAGACTAGAATGAATGTAATACGAATCACGAGGCCATTGTCCTTTCAAATAGATTGTATCTAGTGATGCTGTCCTTCGAATATTTTGGTTTCCACTTAAACTTTCGCTGCATCTTCCACTTAATGTTTTTGATTTTGCTGTTTGTAAAAAAATTTTAGATGAACATAATTTTTACCATTAAGTGGTAAATTATAATGAATGTATCACTGATGTGTAAATATGAACCAGAACCGGACTATGAAGAGTATATTCGATTACTGGATAAAGTAAACAAAAGTAAAAACAAAATTCAAACAATAATGGTACAATAGGATAAAGAAGGAATGAATATTTTAACTGTTTATTGTGGAACCGATCTAAAATCTATATATTCGGTTACCGTATCGATCAATTTAAACATATAGTCATAAATCTATGACAGAAAAAAATGAAAAAGAGATTTAATTTGCTTCTTATTATATATTAATACTACTAATATTAATGGTTGTACTGAATATAGTACATATGTATATAAATACATATACAGATGTGTATATATATATATGTACATGTATACATAACATTCATCATTACTCAATCCAATGACATATATCATAACTCATTAGATACAATTAAAATCACAATGCACAATTTACATTTACAAGTATTATTATTTCATAACTGCAAATTAATGTAAAAATCAACTTAATTATGCTTAATTATAATTAACGAACGTTTGATGCAAGAAACAAGTCTTTACATACTTAAATTATTAAAAACAAATTTAAGGAAACGTATATATTGAGGAATCAAGATAATATATTTTTTTCATCGCAGTTAAAATATTTACAATCGACTCTACGTAGCTGACACAAACGAATTATATCGAATCTCGTAAAACATAACACATCGAACTGTTGCAAATGGAACAACAAGAAATAACGATACACTTGCAAATAGACGATCGATGGAAAATCTGTGCACGATATAACGACACAATAAACATTTATAATTGGTTGTGTTACAACGTTGAAAAGAGAAAATAAAAAGTACATACTCGGTTTAATCGAAAAGGGTAGGAGGGAGGGATACACGGTGGGTATAGGAGGGTACGGAAAACATAAAATGACAGACACAACAAAGTGTAGCGAAAGATAACAGTGTATAGTAAGTACGTGAAGATGTAGAGCAGTGAGTGTAAATACCTTTGTAAGAAAGGGAACCAGGGCTTCGTTGTCCCGAGGAAGAGGTCTCCGGCGAGATGCGGGCCCGCCACGCACTCGCGTTCGTCGGCGATACAGTGGGACTGTTGCTGTTGCTCTTCCTAAGACTGCTACCCTGCCGGCCTTGTCGTAGTAACGAGCTCACGGGTAGAGTCGCGCGCATTGGGCCTTGCTTCGACGTCGAGCATGGCGAGGACTTTCGCATTCGCTGTGACCCCGACATTTTGTCATATAGGCAGCTGGCGCTCCGGCCGTCGATGCTGGTGCGTTTGACGGTACACTGTATTTCGAGTATGTTCGACTAAGGACGGGGCGCCGCGGGCACCGTTCAGGGCACGAGGCCTCCGAGCACCCGCGACTTTGTCGCGCACACGCGGCGACAGCAGCAGCAGCAGCAGCAGCAGTGCCGACAGTATCGAGGACAGATTTTCAATATCGTTTTAGAATGCTCGCCTTGTCGGTGGCGGGCGAGATCTCATCAACGATAATGGTAGCGGCGACGACGACGACGACGGCGGCGCAACGAATTCACTAGCAACTACGACAGGAACAGTGGTAGCGACGGCGCGACGACAATGCCCTACGCGTCTTGTCATTTGCAATGTTCTGCTGCTGCTGCCTCGGCACGCACGTCACGTGATCGCCCGTCCCGGCTGGTCATTGGTGCAACGCTAGCCCGTAGAGCGTCGTACTACGCTCACCCGTGGGGGCCGCGTTCCATTCACTACCACCGTAGCACCGTACCTAGCGTCCTATCGCTCTCTCACTCTATCCTTCTTTGATCCTCTCTCTCTTATTCGCGCTTGTGCAGTGGCACTCAAATTCGCCCTTTCCTTGATTTCTTCCGATCTCTCGTCCGAAATCTTATTTAGCGGTGAATCCCGATGTCAATGAATCACCTGTCTTCTTGTCAACATTCATCATCCTGCTGATCCACGACGAAACTCCACACGCCAGCCGTTCTCTGTTCGAACTTACTTGTTTCGAAATACGATATCACCTCTGCGCCGAAACAATGTTTTGATGCTCGTATACGACGTGCGCAACTCTGCTTATATATACACCTGCACGACACACGTATAGACCAGTATGTAGCGTTTTACGTTTCACGTTATGTACGTAATGGAGGAGCACAAGCCGATGAATAGCGTGTGTGAATAACTTTCGTCTACGGGCATGTACTAACACAGACGTACTACCCAAGCTTACGTTTTTCAGCTACGGCGCGTGCACGCTACGTTCATTCGATACTCTCGCTGGGAGAAATCTCGCGATAATCGTTTCAATTCGCTCCGTATCGCTATCGAACCGATATTTACGCGCCAGCTTGATTTTGATTTGCTATTGACAATAACAAAGATTTGATGATCTGTCTGATCGCGGAATTCGATCGTTTCGACTGTTTTTACACTATCTTCCATGGAAAAATTTTCGAAAGGGACGAAATACCGTTTTTACTATTTCTTGAAAAATATTAGTAAAATGGAAAATTACGTGCGTCAAAATTGAATAATTGGGATTAAAAAATTGTATTTTTTATGAATTAAGCTCGTATATTTATTTACAATATATTATACATTATACTATGCAGTTTCATTACATTGTTTTAAGTGTTCACTATTGATAACATGTGACTAGATTAAACAATATCAGATTGACAAAAACATTGAAACATCAGTCAAAACTTTTAGTACGTTAGTAAATGCGTGAATAAAACGTAAATATTTGAAACGAGTAAAAATTTCTTTTATGTTGTTTTCACTTGTAAATGTGAAAATAATGGAAGTAATGAAAATAAAGTCGAAGCAAGTTGTGTGCATGTGCAGGCATTAATTTATATATATTATTTTTATCTTGCACATGAAAAGATAATGTTTTAAGAGAAAGGCAATAAAATTATGATTTCAATATAAATATAAGCATATTGAATCTATGATTCAACTTAAATTATTAAGCCTTAAGTCACTTGTCATTTGTTGTCAGCATAAAAGTATTAAAATTAATGTCAAAAATTTATACTGTAATATATATTTGCATGAAAATTTGTTTAATAAAGGCACTGTCATGCTTTTCAGTAAAAGCTAATGACATAATATACTTATACTTAATTTTACTGTTACATACGTACATATATTCATATGTATATTCATACATATGGAATTATATATATATGCATATGCATACAATTTTTGTAAAGAATGCTGAATTATTCTGCAAAATAGTTTTAGGAATGCTTTACATCAATTCCAAAAATAATTATTTCAAATTATACCACTTTTTAATTCACAAAGAATTTTTTTGTTACGGTAATATGTTAATGATAAATGTGAAGAACAAAAATTAACATATATTTAAATAATAACAAAAGAACAAACTTTTTCTACATTTTACGCATGCACCAATTGTTGAATTATGTACTTCTTAGTATCTTAAAGCATTATTAAAGATGACAAAATATATATAATAGAATGACAAAATGATGTAAAAAATACAAGTATAATGATCAAATTGACAAACACGAAATGATGAAATGTCATACATAACACAGACATTTGTCTGTTGTAACAATATTATTCTTGTATTGATTATAGTAGTTTGTATTTTAGTAATTGAACACAACACTCACATGTGTTTTAATTCATACATCAGTCCATTTTAGTCTATGCTGTTGCTGTTCATTTTTTTTTATTACTAATAGCGATAAAAAAAGACTGAAAAACCTTATACATAATAGATAATAGATATAAGTGCTAAAATAAGAGTAAATTTTAAGCTTCAAAGATTTTAAGCAAGTAGAACTTCTTTAAACTACCTTCTTTATCATTTCTCTAGTATTTTAATCATGTTTTACTACAAATTCGTTGAAAGTTTAACGTTTTAAACACTGCCTATATATTTTTGTAACTATGTAAATGTGAATAAGAAAATTATTTTATGATATAAAAAAAAAGTTTATATGTAAATTATTTGTAGTAAGTATAATACCATGAAAGTGATATCATTTATAAATGTGTAAATTATTACTAGTAATAACAGCAATAGTAATAATTTACACATACATATATAAATAAATAAATATATATGTATATATTCATTTATTTATATATATATATATTTACATATAAATTATATATATGCGTAATTTTATATTTTATACAAAATTTAAGATAAATTTATACAAATAAAGTACATTCTTTCAATTTGTAATAATACTGGAAAAATATTAGCACGCATCTTAATTTATTTTTATCTATTTATCTATTTATAATACACTAGTTATTTTTTATATTGATTCACAAATAGCCAAAAGTATTAATGAATATAAAAATAGGAATTCATAAAAAGTTATAATTAAATACTATTAAACATACTAAATTAATTGAAATTTGAGACGATTTTTCTTCTAACAATATCTTTGTCTTTGAGACATTGAAAAAATTTAATTTTTATTTATTATAAAAAAATATCTAAACTTTTTATTAATTTAATATTTACAAAATAAAATTTCAATACCATAAAAAAGATGTAAGATTTAATAAAAAAAAAAATGAAAAAAATATATTTGTCAATAAAAAAATAAAAATACCTTTAAGATTTCTTTGATAAATTACATAGAAGTAGTACTTTAAATTTTTGTAATTTTGTAAAATTTCCTTTAACGTACTTTTTTAAATTTTTTCTGAAAAAATTTTAAATATTAGTTTTATTACAGAACTTCATTTTATAATGAATATCGTATTTTCTACTTATAATAAATATAAAAAGTAATTAAATATAAAGTCACGTTAAATTTTTTACTAATTACGAAATTAATTTGTCTTACTTCTCATTACATACTAATGACATTAATAAATATAAATGATTTGTTTTTTTCAAATAGAATTAAATATAGGACGAAAAATATGCCTATTAAAGATTTGTGTAATATATCCTAGTTAGGTCTTGTAAATAAATGAAACTCTTTCATTTAATATTTAAATTATTGTTGCCACAAATAAATTTAGTTATGAATTTTAAGAATCTATTACTATATTTATACAAACAACATTTCTATGAAATATGTGAGCTAAGTTGATAACTGTCATGAATTTGAACTATGGCAGTGTGAAATATCTATTATAGTATATCCCAACATTAGTTAAGATAAACATCAAAAAATAAAAAAAGAATCACATCTATTACTCTTTAGTTTAAAGAATTAAATTAATAAACATGACACAAAATATTATAAATTATATTATATTAATCAAGTATGTCTAGGAAAACAATTTTAAAATTTAAAATATATATAAAATAATATTGTATCATATAAGTATTATATATATATTTATATGTAATACTTATATTGTTAAATACCACCAATATTTTTTTATCTTAAACAAATTATTTTGATTGATCCACACACGATGATAGATATTAGAACTTAAGGAAGATAGATATTAAATCGATATATAAAATTATAAGAAAGAAGTCTTTTAAAAAAGCAATTTAAGTTATATATTAAATACATATTTGGTATGCATCTGCAATGGATGAATTATTTTTGTTGGACATACAACAAATTTGATACTTTAAACTCAACTATTTTTACCAATATCTATATTTTTTTATACAATCATTTCCCAAGTCTACAACTACTAAGTGATTGTCAGGTAGTACTGCAATACCTGAAGGACGTCGTAGTTTTGAACTATGCGAATCAATTTCAGTTAAAATATTACCTCCTCCTAACTTTAAAACTTGGATTATACTGCGACCTTTATCGGTACGAGTACCAAGTATTCTGCCTTCTGAATCAACAGCAAGGCCTCCATAAGTACCTTTTCCTATAACATACAACAGATATTAAACACGGCAATTAATGTATAAAACGAAAAATTGTAATTTACCTTTGCCTTCCGAATAAATTTCTTCAGAAAAATCTCCTTTAGCGGAAAATACTTGTATACGACTATCAGCAACTACTATTTCACCATTGGGTCCAACAGTCACAGAAGTGATCAATTTGAACGTACTTCTCTTTCCAACCTGTTAGTTAAGATTTTTGAAAGATAAATACATAACACCGAATATAATAAATGCAGAAAAACAAATTTAAAGAATTAAATATTATCCAACCTGAAAGAGAATTTTGCCATCAGAATCGAACACAAAAACACAGCTTTGACCATTATCTGCAACAAGTATATGACCATAACTTCTATCTACTGCAATATCAATTGGTTCCTGTAGAACAAAATTAATAATATAATGAATAACAAGCAGTAAGTATTTTTTAATACATCTTAAAAATAGACAATACTAACTTGAAACGCATTATGGGAAAAAGATTTAATAGTATCACCTAGGGAACTCATTTCAGTTACTTTTCGTGTTCTCCAATTAACGACAACAATACCTTGCTGAGATATACCAATTCCTGTACAACTACGTCCTTCAAGACCTTCATTAGTTATGTGCCTTTGAAATTCTAAATCACAATTGAGTACCTAAAAATATAATATAATATTGTGTATATGTTACAACTTGAATATTAGAATATAATAAGACTTGTTTATAATTTTAAACGTACTTTTATACGTGAGTTTCCAGTATCTAAAATATATATCATGCCATCATCATTAACAGCAACTGCAACTGGTTGGTGAAATTCGTCTTTTCCAGTTCCACGTCTTCCATATATTTTAATAGGTTCATTATGTTCAGTCGCATCAAAAAATAAAGGATAATCTTTAATAGGTCGCTCAAAAACTGACAACTTTAAAATATAGCGGCTTGCAGATGGAGGTCGGAATAGTACTTCATATGTACCATTTTCTAAATCTACAATTTCAGTATCAATACTGGAACTTTGGTTTTCTGAATGGATACTATCTGCTAAGGTTAATTCTGCAGTAATAAGATCGCCTCCAACATTTCTAGGATGTCCATGGTAATCAACAGTCTCTACTATTACAGCTGCTTGCAGTTTAACTATAGCAGGGTCTTTTAACCGGGCTCTGCATAAGCCTGTTACAAAATATGCGTTATTACTATAAGTAATAATCCTTTCTCATTATCGGCAACTTAAAAATATAAAACAATAACGCTTGCATAATGATTAATAACAAGTTTGAAGCAGGTACTTTACTGTATTATCAATCCTCAGGATACCTGGCAATGTTGTACTAGAACGTACTCTCCCCAAGTTATTAAGAGCTTCCTCTAATTGAGAAAGAGCATTATTGTGATTAAATTCAAAAGTAATAAAAGCATTTTCTTTAGGTTCGCTAAGTGCTGTTGCCGCATCGAGTTGGTCAGATAAACTACCAATTCTTTGTGTAATATTTCGAACTTCAACCTTTAAGAATTATACATATCTTTTATTATGTATACAAAACAGACACATAAAGTTAATATTTTTTTAACCTGATGTCATACCTGATATTGTAATCCTTCACATTCTTGTTGTACTTTATTTTTTTCGGCCTCTATCAACGCATGTTGTTCTTCTAGCACGTGCTTCTTATCTCTTGCAGCAGCCGTAACAGCCGCTTGTAATTCCGTACGTCTCCTTTCAATTTTTGATATAATTTCTGCAAATTCAGTATCTACAGCACTCAAACACCTCTCTATTGAAGCTTCCAAACGTTGTAATTCTGTACTCACAGAATCCTGAGCTTGTGTTAACTAAAATAAGCAAAATTCTATTTATAAATATCACAATGTTTCACGATTAATAAACAATTCGTAAAGAAAAAAATATTGTAAATATTGTTACCTTAGATATACACTCATTTGCTTTGTAGAGTAAGATTTCGGACATCCTCTTTATTGCAATACTAAATGGTATGATAGTATGCTCAGTACATCCTGGTGATGTACCTGCATGATTACCGCCTGTACATACTGTACAAAACACCGTATCACACGTTTCACAAAATAACAATTCTTGATTTATATGAACGGAACATTTTGGAATAACCTGTAATAACAAAGAAATTTTTTACATAATGTGCCTAACAAAACATAAAGAAAAGTTACATGAAAAATACAGTTTCAAACCTCCCGTCTTTGCCTGGACATGAGATCAAGCAGTTGATTCACAAGGAAACTAGGTGGTAAAGCAGGAACTCCACCACGAGGAATTGTTATTAATTCTCTGCAAATAGGACATCGAAAGGCACCAGTCTCACGAGTCTGAGATGCAGCAATTCTTGTTAAGCAATGTAAACATACCTGCAAATAAATGAACAAATAATTAGTAAAATACACTATTACACTAAAATGTTATAATTTAATAAACATAGATGACATGTACCGTGTGTGAACATGGTAATAACTTGGGAGTATGTTCTCCGCCATCATAAACACAAAGACATGTGCCACATGTTAAAAAACTCTCATTAAAATCTTCATAATTTATACTAACTGTCTCCACGAGCATAGAGCTCATACTAACCATCCTCTCCCCTAGTCGTGTCCTGCAAAAAATAAAATATTTCTATTTATGTTATACATTAGCAAGCAAGTTTTGTTTATAAAAAAACTTTACATACAATTTTAACATCTGAAATATCATATTCGAATAAAACGTTATTCTTGTTAATATATTCATATTTGAATGAAACATTATTATTCCGCACATATATAATTTTGAAAAATAGAAACAAGGTCAATATTATTGAAAAGAACTTATTTATTTATTTATTTATTTATTACAAATAACAAAAGGTATAGGATATTGTTGACACAGCAAATTTAAATATAAAGTGTTATTTAAATAATGAAATATTCACAAAGAAATTTTTTATACACATAATAATTGATTTCAATATACATATATCATACATATGTACTCCATTGTTATGACAATGTCACTTTCTATCTGTTTACACTTCCTTAAGAATAAAAATTACATAGGGTGTCACAAAAGTTTACTGATCAAGTAGACGCATTTTGACGTTCGTAATCCGCTTTGATCTTTCAACCGTAATCAGTTGTTAAACATTAAACAAGACAAGTAAAATGAATTACTTATAAAAATATTTGTTGAATAATAAACTCACTGTATAGCTAAACGCAGTGCCTCCATAACGGAGTTAGCCCTGTCGTTGCTTTGAGAAATATATACATCCGTTACATTACACGAGTTTTAGCGGGGTGTCGATGCACGCTTGGATTATATCTCTTTCTTCTTAAATAAATTTTCATTATCAAATGAACCGAACAACACGAATAAGCTTATCAAATAACTTTCGTGCAAATCGCATCTTCTAGTTTCACCACGCTGGTGAACTTGAATATTAAACATACATCGATATCAATAACAAAATATTATGCTTTCAAATGGTATCAAAGTAAAGGAACTTTCTAACTCATGCGATTTTTTTTTTTTATATCCACGATACTCTCAGAGAAAATAACGCTGCGCATTGTTCTTCGTTTTTTCAATTATCATCGACTGCTCCAAACAAAGCACACGTTTGCATAAAACGCTATCAATAAACGTGACACTTATTTCACAATTTTTTCTCCGTAAACAAGCCACGAGATGCAAAGCATATGCCGATGAGAACTCTTTGTCTATCCTTTTTTTCTAAATATCTATTGTCCTCGGCGCAAGAATTGTCGTTGAGACGAATTTTTCTATTTTCAGCGAATTTGCTGCAAGTATAATTTGCGAACCATATTCAAAAAATCAAATGCAAAAAGCTATTCTCTCTGACGTTATTAAGCTTATTTTTGATTCACTTTTGAAATTGTTTATCCCTGCAAATGTATAATGTCATTTTGGATGTTTGCTTTATTATGTGTCACTATCACTCGCGACGTATTCGCGGGACCACGTACATGCCCACCTCGTTCAAATGGTAGCAATAACACTGTCGAAATTCGTCAGTGTTCTGTCGCATTTTTCCAAACAAATACAGACACGAAACAACGACGACCAACCGCATCAGCTGCGGAGCGCAGCGACTCACGTTTTACAGCTGCGCACGTTCTCGCCTGCATCCACAGCCGGCACCACTACCAGGGACGAAGTAATAGGTACACTATGCGGGTGCCCGCGGTTATGATCTACCAAGTTGCGCGTCTTGCTTTTCTCGTTTATGTTTTCATGAAAATCTCCTCGACCGATACACCAGCATTTTCATGGAACACTTAAAGACTATAATTGCAAACAATTCGATCAATCTGTATCGTTTGTCAGTTTCCAACAATTTCCTAGTTATATTTAGACCGAATAGATAAGCAGATTTTTACGAAGGCTATCGTGAATAGATATCAAGTAAATTAGTAGTAAATGGATACAAATGCCGTATTTTTCGTGTGTTTTTGAAACGCTCACAATTTGCGTACGTAGAACGAGTAAGCGTGGCGTTTACAATGCAAGAAATGAAAGTATATACGAAATTCTTCTATTTAAGAAAATATTAAAGTTGAAGCGTTTGTTATGTACGTTACGCGCCGAGTCATATACATCCCTGAGTATTGGCGTACCATCAAGCGTTTACCACGAGAGTGAGAAGAAATATATAGGAGAAAGCGATGATAAAGAAAGAAAGATACACGCGTCTGCCGAAGGGTAAGGAGACGCACACCACCAACGGCAGCACAAAGGCGAAGAAATGCCTGGTATGCTTGTGCGAGGTACACGGCCACATAGTCGGCTGAATTGTCTACTGCGCAGTCGCCCGTTAAAAGGTGTAGCGGCTCATGTGTATATGCTTTGCTTACTTACGTGCACTTGCTAGAGCCGGTCTCTCGGACAGCTGTGTATTTTCTATGGTCACGAATTTCATGTTTTCACAAACTCTCATTTATATAGCATTACATTTACCTCATAATATTTAGAACTCGTTTCTTTTTTTTTTTTTTTAAGTTTTCACGCGATAACTTCAGTCGTACGCGATAATTATGTCTACGTCTGGAAGCATGCATTATTGAAAAAATAGAAGTTTGTCAAACGAGACTCAAAACGGAGAAACAAAACGATAAAACAGGTAGTTAAATTTCATCGTTCAGTTTCGATTTATATCTCTTTATTGATATTTAAAAAGGACTAATAGAAGCAAATTGTACGAAAGAAGTACTTGTACAAATCTTTTTTTTCAATTTTATAAAAATTTTTATAAAATTTTTAGAAAAACTGTTTGAAAGCAAAGGTTGATGGTACCGTCAAAGGGCACCATATTTTGTGACACCATTTTTGTCAATCCCTAAAATACTTAGTCGTATATTATAATGTATAAGTTCTACAAAGTTTTATATCGTAAATGCATATAATTCTTAGGGAAGCTCGTCACGTACTTACATGAATGGACAGCAGCTCATGAAGCTTCCTTTGATAAACTCAGATGATAAGTTATTTTTATACAAGCAATGTATTGGCGCGATATATTATTTATGGCGTCCTAAGGATCTTACACAGGCGTGATATGCACACTAACAAAGCACCATGATACAGCGATTCAAGAGTGGCAGGATCTTCGATATTGTACGACTGTTTACAACAGTATTTTTCAGCGAACTGTGTTCAAATTCTTGGCGTTTGATTTTTTATCACGAGTGGAAGATACCGAGACATAGTAAAACATGCGATACGATTTCTTTTTAATTCCAGAAGAGTTGTACAACGTCAGAAGTTAAAGGCGTGTACATTGACATAAACACATGCGTTTGCAGACTTTATTTAATAGTCGTTGTCACACTTTGCAAATGTAAACAATGAAAATTGATGAACGTAAGTGTATCCCCGATACATGTCACTAACCGAAACCGTATCAGTGTTCTACCGCTTCTTGGCTGATAAACGGTGTATGTTTATCAGTGCATTAACCTTTGCCAATTTTACGTTCAACGAATATTGGCGATTTTCATAATCGCATTCGCGCATATACAAATTTTTATCTCGTATCCCCTCCCCCCCGATACTTTAACATTGAATTATTAAATTATCTTGTGTAACAGCGCCCGAACGAGACCGATTCACAATGACCGTAGAGTTTCAAGACGTGGCGATTTAACAACGATGACAGGTCAACGTTCATTATTTCCTTGCACTGAAAACACCGAAGAGTTTTACAACTCTCAACACAATCCCCCGTGTATAGTTTCCATCGCGGTCATATTTCTCCTCTGCAAACTACTAGAATGACGTTCGTAAGACGAAAGACAAGGATGGCGATATCGATTTCAAACAATGTACATTAAGCTCCAGCAGGTGGCATGGCCACCGGTCCTCGTCTTTCACGGCACGCTGTTTTTCTCGCGAAATGACACGGACAGGCACGACACTGAGAAATTCCCGAAACACAAGAAACAGGGGATGAAAGCACACCCTCGAAACTGTCCTTGCCGGATTGCGCGTGCGCAACGCGATTTAGGTCATACTTATCATGATAGATGAGCGCTAGTTACACACGTTCCAGGGGTTTTCTTTCTTTCTCCATTGAATTGTCGTTGTTTTTCATGGAATTTTTGAAAAAAATTATTACGTTTACGTGATATACTTATTTTAGATTTGACGCACCTCGGGTATTAGCTATCTGTCGTAGAATACACATGCTTTGTAAACATTGGCGAGGTCGGGGTAGCAGTGCGCATCCTTGGCCTCGATGTTGGCAATCTTTGAATAAGTGCTACCAGTGGTGTAGCCAGAGGGGTTTATAAAGGTATTGTAATCTCTGTTGAACTTTAATCGCAAGGAAATTTCGCTACTTCAAGTAATCGTGTTTCTTACCACTGTTAAATAATCGCAACGAAACATTTTATACGTTGGTTTATTAACGAGAGGCGTAGTAATTTCGAGATCTTATGTACACCCAAAATTTACATTCGAGGATGTGTGTTACTATGTGCGGTATCCTTCTTACTCCTGAAACGATTTTCATGCACATGCATGATTCGGGCATGCGCCATTGAATTCAGGTCATTCGAGGCTTGACCGAAATTGAGATTGAAGATTTTTTACTGCATTCTAATATCAAGGATATCCATCGTTCTTCTGTTCTCTACGATCACCGATTTTCACGCAAAAATTAATTAATAATCTTGACAAAGTTTCATTGCTTCATTTGCAAGAACTAAATATGCGTAAGTTTAAAATTTTTACTTTTGTTTCTTAAAATTTAGCAAATGCATGACTTTTTAAAGGGGAATTTTACATGTAACAGTAAAAAACAGGATAATCAAATGTGAAACAAAAGCATGTATTTCAAATCAAAATTTTAAATGGATAAATTAAATTAAATGGATAAATTAATTAATTAAAATATATTATATAATACTTGTGTATTAGCTGTGCATTCTAACTTTTTAAATAACGGATCACATATTTTCCCATATAAATGTTACACGCTTCCTAAATGTTCTATTTAATTCAACGCATTAAACGTGTGACATTAATTCGTGTATACGAGACGTAAAATTAGTGTCACCTTAAAATGCATTTGCATAAGCGTAGGACGCGCTGCAGCATGTGTAACTTAACATAAATTACAACTATTGTGCAGTTCGAAAAACATACAAAGAATACGAGTAATAAATCAAAAACTAAATGGAAAGAAAAGCAGCTCTGTAAATTGATACTTCACCAATACAACAATGCGATTTCTTCGGTTATTAAATTGGAGCACGTTTGTTTAGTCTCTCGTCGAGATTGTGGTTTCATTTTAAAGGTTCTTAATACACTTACTTTAGAATTACCACAGAAAAGGGTTCTTAATATACTTACTTTAGAATTACCACAGTAATGAATTATAACTTTTTAAAGTAGTTTTGCAGATTTACAATGTTTTTAAAAATTTGAATGATTTTTGTAAAATATACGAATAAAAGTTTGTATTCCTTATTATATTATAAATTTTTTCCTATTCCTTACACTCTAATTTCTCTGATACAATTTTCTCATTAGTTTAGTCGTCGGTAGTTTTGATGTTAAACTACCGTTTTTTGTTTTAATGATTCTTCATCTTACAGTAGCGTTAGGAAAATTAAATAATATCTATAATTAATGAAATGATTTATTTTATATATAATCCACTATGTAATATTCATATAATTGTAAGTCAATCATCTCCCTATCTACTTTTATTTTCTGTGTGATCTTTGATCCAATCAATATAACTGTAGACACGGGTAAAGACATCTGGTCGACCTCTTGCACACGGTATGCCCCAGGATACTATACCGATCTGTTCGTTATCAGCAACCAAGGGACCACCAGAATCACCCTGTTCACAAAAATAAGCAATTTAATATACGTGTAACGTTAATGTAATTATTAGAAGTTTATCCTTAACTATTTTACTATATTTAATAACAAAGAAACTAACAATAAGGTGCTTGTGATTTGAACTCTGTAGGGGGAAAAAGTTAAGGACGCGACCGATACATCCCATATATTTAGAGTAATTCTTTTTGAATTAGGTGAGTGGAACTCAATGGTGCTCACTGTTACGCTCTCGACGACATAGTTTTCGCGACGGAATATAAATAAAAAAAAAAAAAAAGTGCCGCTTTAGTTGAGGGATCCTTTGACGTGAAAGGGCCCTCTTCTCAAGTACTCAGCTAGACGTGAATGCACTTACGTGACAAGCGCCTTCACCCCTCTTGTTAAGTGTGCAGATATTGTCGTTGGTGACACGAAAGCTGGCGTTTAAACATTGTTTTTGATCGATTACACTCAGCTGTATATGATACAGCTTGTTCGGCGTTTGTCCAGGATACTTTGATTGTTTGCATATAATTGATACCGCGTCGATAATCATTCGAGTGCATGGAAAAAATAAATGAACGCAACAGTATTGATAAAGAAAAAAGAGCAAATTATAGTTTATAAGAGGCTGATGCTTACGCTAGTGGTACCCCAACCAGACAATACAGCAGGATAATCTATTTTGCTGAAATTTTCACTAGGCAACGCGACAGGTTTCACTTTATCTCCGAAAACGATGTCCTTGTCCACTTTGATTAGCCCAATATCGTTTCTTATCAATGCAGAACTATACTTTGGATGGCTGATTATTTGTTTAGATTGATATACATCGCCACCTTTATTTAAAGTATTGGAACCCAATACGACGGCAATGTCTGAATTATCGAAACTAAACAGATCGGTTGTAAGTGTAAAAAGAGAAATAATGTGCTTTTGTGCATATATGGAAATTTAATTTATATATACTTTGATAAACAATGAGCAGCTGTTAGTATCCATCTATCGTTCAATACGGATCCTCCGCAAAAATGACGATTTTTATAACGAAGTGAAGCTTGATAGGGATATTGCCCATCTTCTGCTACAGAACCACCGACGATTTTTGGAACTTCATTTATACTTGCCGCTGTATTTGATAGTTTTATATAGTAATTCAAGTGGACAATTTATTTAATACATCACTAATTTTTTAATTTAAACCTTGCAGTTTCATGTCGTTGCTGATTTTTTCTATTTAAAATAAAAAAAGTTATTACCTGTTGCTTTAAGAATTGCAATAACGGTGAATATATAAAGAAACAAGAACATTTTGAAGCACGTCGTTTCTTGCGGTAACGAAAAAACTATCAATCTGGTATATCCGGAGACATTTCAAGAGTATTTATACTTTTAATGACCGTGAGAATTAAAGATACACCTGGCCAGTATTTAAATTTAGGTCAGATATTACCTACAAAGAAGCTTATTCAGATGTATCTCACGTGCGCTGTGATAAAAGCGAAGAAAACCCGAACTGAATGGTTACTGCTACCGCTTAAGAGGAAAACGATTCCAAACTAACAATTTTAGTCGAAATCTATTCATTTATCTTTCGATGGGGGTTTTCTGACCATGGCTCAACATAAGATAGTTCCTTAATGGGTGTCATTTCTATCTTATCTTCGTTTTGTTTCGCTTTTATTAATTCTGTCTTTGTTTTATACGCAAATCTTTTAAAAATTAAGTCAAAAAGGTTGATTTTCAATCTGCTCACTTCCATATATCTTTCTTGTTTGGAAGCTGGAAGTTGATCATATTACGACCGACTAATGAATAATTATAAAATAATAGTTGCGAATCAGTTTGGACAAAAGAACATCGATTTCGATGTATAGTAGCGATTATATATTTGGTTTATCCGATTCGCGTCCCTTCGTCGATCAATGACTCAAAGAGGATTATTCGAGAGCCTTATTAAACGGGCGCGCAGGACAATTTAAAAAGGCACAAAGCTGCACAATTTATTCCATTATGACATGACTCACCCTGATTATGTTCCATTCAGAGACGGTGACTGGGTGATTGGCCTCATTCAAATTGCATGGTAGTGGTAAGAGTCTAATTCTGTCGTCATACACGAAGGCACACTGTGCGCTCAAATTAAATTCATATTGCTTTTAGATATCGCTATGAATATAAAGACAACATCGTTATAATATCCATAAAGGCATACATAAATAGAAACAATTTTATTTTCAATAATTTTACCGAAAATGTATACGTATGATTTCATATGTTTTATTTCGAGGAGTTCAGTTACTGGGCGTGGTTCAAAAAAATTGCTGGATAATTGTGAAATGGACAAGGAATAAGGATGATTTAACGCAATGAAATGTACATGTTATAATAAAGAAGAGAAAACATCAACTTGTACAACTTGAATTTCCTTTATTTAAATGAATCAGAGGTAATATGAACCGTCGATGTAACGTTACTTGTATAAAAATCAAACTCAATTTCGTTCTGCATTCCCTGCTTTCAATTCTTGAATACTATCAACGCAATTATATGATAAGTGCGAACTATTGCGTGTTATTCTAATTAACTGAAACTACAAACATACATGAGTGTCGCAATCGCTCATATTCCCTGTAGCTTATATGTATAAAATATTCATATGTCTCACAATCAGAAATTAATGATCAGACCTATACCGCTTCTCCCGTGCACACAAGTAAATAAATAAACATAGAAAAAAAGCTTGGCGATAAGTAATTTTTTTCTATCGCATATATATATATATATATTTTTAATTTATGTATTCGATAATATATATATATATATGTATGTATGTATATATATATATATATATATTATATAAATTGTCCGTTCCCTTATACATATAAATATCATCGTTTATAAAAGCTACTGTTTCGGTATCACTTGCCGTTGGTCACGCTTTAATGCACGTCTATTTTTTGGAAAACCGTGTGAAAGTAAACGTATGCAATATTATATATTTGAAACAGCGTGAATCATTGGCTTATCTCTTTTCATTTTGTTTTATCTGTGTTCGCTTAAACGTATATTATAATTATTCACCTTGTACCGATAAAACATGATTGTCTAATATTTTTAATATAACTGTATATTACAAACTATGTCTTATCTGATTTGAACGATGCTCCTTACCAATAATACACTAGGGCGCGATTGAGTATTTTTATACGGCATGTCCTTTGTAACACTTGTTACACATAGAATAACATTAATAGTACTAAAAATATAAACATTATTTCGTTTCATTTTTAAACTTTAAATCAAGAGTTATAATTTAACTCTTCAGGGACGACATTTATACATTGTACTGACTCCTTTGCAACTTTTACCGGAAATTATTTCAACAATATTATTATAAATTTCATAGTTATAGCTACAGAAATTATTATTAGTATAGTTTTAATTTATGAAAATTATCAAAAAGTCCAAATTATCAACATCAGGCGTCATCCTTGAAGTGTTAATAATTAGACAGTGCAAAATCAAATGTCAGCACCTCATTTAACGAGACGGATTTCATTTGGAACTGCATGAATCATGTACACTTAAAATATTCTTTCGCTAGTTAAGTGTAAATAAAAATACTTTCTTACCACTGAAATACTTATATAGAAATAATTCTTATATTTATATAGAAATAATTATAGAAAATGTAAGAAAGAAAAAAAAGATTTATATTTTTAGTACAAAAGCTATTTAACTTATTTAATTTTAATTTTTATTCACCCAAACGTTAAGCGTTAAGAAATGCACAGCGGTATTAAGAATCATATAAAATATGCACATCGGACGTGAAAAAGGTAAAAATAAAACTTACTTTATAATTTTTTATCTTCAATTTACAATAAACAATTCTACTTAAATAGGAATACTTTTCATCGATAGTTAATGTATATTTTTATTCCTTTTTCTTTTTTTTGAGTTTTGTAAATACGTTTTGAACGCAAAGAAACCTAAAAATCCGTCTATTTTTATTATAATATGATAATTTAAGTATCAACTATGTTTGAATTGGTCAAAAATAAATAAATAGAAACATGCTTTGTACAATCATGTAAATTCACTTGTAAGGTCTTTTGTAATGATGTTTAATGAAGTGACCAAAATTATGTGATAAAGTTATTTTATATTAACATTCATTTACTGTAAATGTTCTAGAAAATATGTGTATACAGAAGGTTAATAGCCAAATTGCAAATTGATTTAAAATATTTAGTAACTTAAATTCGTAATATCACATGGTGCTGCCATCCAATATTGTAAGTGTGTAAGTGTATACAGAATGATGGCTATATTTTATTCTAGGCCATAAAACTCCGTCACTTATTGGCTATAAAGTATTTAAGTATATTATTCGATTTTGGTTTACTAGTTGTCGGCCAAGAACGGGTCACTTCTCTTTGTATATCAATCGGTAAAGATTTAAGAACGGCCGCATCAATTTTTGGAGACAATTGCATTGGTGATGAAGGACTAAGTCGAAGGTCAGCCATTTCGTTGCTTGGAGATTCTCTACGTCCACTTAACCATACTTCCAATCTGGTCTTTTTTGGTAAAGGTTCTATTTCGTTCAAAACATCATCGTCCACGGTTTGGTTATTAGTACCTATTGATTTGGAAATTGGAGATGAAGTGGTACTCATCGCAGAACCGTCGTTACTATCTTGATTCACACTCATTGGTGATCCGAGATTAATGTCAGAAACGCCTTCTTCCGAGCTTATATCTAAGACGGATTGAACAGCGACTTGTTTTCGCAAAAAAGATGTAATACTATTTTTACCGGAAGATCTTTCCTCAAATTTCGTGAAAGCAACGCCTAAAAGGGTTAAATGGAATGGTTTAGAAACATCGACAGTACGATGAAACAGTTTCATTGCTAATGCTAGCATTTTAGCGTGATCGTAAACTCCAGATTTTGAAGAAGGCAGTAGATGTTTTGGTAAAGCGCATTGTCGGGTTTCTCTTTTACCCGAAGCTGATTTATTAAAATCATGTTTTCTGACTGTTAATCTCATAGCAACAGGGATTCTTCCATCCTCCATAGCTAATTCCGTTAATCTTCTCAGAAGTGCTCCTAGCCGTGATTCTACTTCGGCTATCAAAGAAACACTCTTGAAGCCATCTTCTAATCCTATACTCTGTCTCTTTCCTGTCGGTTTTACAACAGTCTCGTCGATGCCTTCAGCATTATCTTTTAATTTTCGTGCTAAGTCAACACCGATTTTCTTCTCTAATGCTTCTAAAGGTGTTTTTCGCACATCGTCCACAGTTTTTATGTTATTGGATATTAACAATTCTGTTGTCTTTTGCCCAATACCAGGTATTTTAGATACAGACTCTATGGTAGATAATAGCATAGCTGCACTGCAAGGAAATATTAGTGTTTGCTGATTTGGTTTATGCAATGAACCCACTAACTTTGCTAAGAGCTTGTTATGTCCTATCCCAGCACTGCATGTAATATGCAAATCTTTATAAATTTGTTCTCTTATTTCTACTGCAATTTTGGAAGCTATAATTAATCTAGCATGACAACCACAAGGACATTCTTCTTCGGAGGGACCAAATACTTTGCCAACTGGATTTTCATCTTCCATATTAATACTCATATTCAATTCTGAATCATTCCCAGAATTCATATATTTTTGTACGATAGATGTTACGTCCAAAAAATTGTCATCAAAACCTAACCTTTCAACTAATGGAGTAAACTGATGTAATATCTTCTGTATTTTAGCAGAGTAATGACGATAGTGTGTTAAGTCTTCACCATTTACCAAGGCTAGCTCTGGACACAAATGTAAAGCTTCCTGCACTGACATACATTTTTTAATTCCATATTCTCGTGCTAAGTAATTGCTTGTTACTACTATATTTTTTTGTTGTACTCCCAATGGTTTGCCTTGTAGCTCTGGATGCCTTAGCATCTCTATTTGAGCATAAAAACAGTCAACATCTATATGAATTATAGTTCTTGGATGTCTTATAATTGCATCAAAGTCAATGGAATCCATTGAGGTTAATTTACAAACGATGCAATACAATATTATTCATAGAATCTTTATCACATGAATGTTTTATTTAATACTTTAACATAGTATAATCTGTAACATTAAATACCTAGTTAGTATTATAAATGATAAAATTAAGTAATTTGTAAACAATTATCATTAACATAATGAGCAATATAAATTTATAAATATTTATTACCTTTTTAGAAAACAAATTTGATTAAAAATATATTTTTAAATGCATATTTTTTCACTTTACTTGGCATTAATAAAGAATAATTTTCTTTTCTTGTTACTAACACACTTTAACACAGTAATTTTTAAGTCTATAAGTGTTACCTATCGATATGTTTAATTGTAGACGTATATCTAAAAAATAGGTTAAGTTATCCAGTCAAAACATACAAACTATTTACTGTTTTCAACTTACGTATGGAAGCTTACAATTGTATAACTAATTATCATTTTTATTCTTAAATAAATTAATCCAAAATACGTTTATTAAAATAGCTTTATTTTATAATTTCTTAGAACTTTCTTTAGATCATAAAATAAGGTTACCATTATTTAGCGTTCATTTGAAAAGTATCTCACAATCACGTAGAACATTAGCATACAAGTGTATTTTTATTTTCCAGAAATCCGTTAGATCACATTGAATAGACATTAAATTGCAGTTAGAGATATTAAAAAACTCGAATGTTTCTCTACCACGTGTACTTCTTATAAATTTCATCGAAGAAATATATTTTTTCACTGCTGATAAGTTTCGCTGGTAACACGAAACAAAACTATCGTAAAAACTAAATAGAAATTTGTTTACAAACTGTAATGCGACTAATTTATTTTTCACATGGTAGCCATGTTTTGAATTGTCAAAGATATATACGTGTATGCATGTATATATACATACATTCTAAAGATTGGTGCATATGAATATTTTAAGATACATACATGCATCATCAATTTGTGGTACAAATATATTTTTTCCTTACACACAACAGATACGCACGTATAATGGTTCGTTTTCATAAATTTACAGCCAATGACATTCAAAATAAACTAGGGAAATTACTTAACGTATATAGATAAAATTTAAAGCGCAAAACGTATTTTTCCACTAGATATAATCCAATCATATTTTAGATCATCTAGTAAAAATATATCACGAATATAGTAAAAATGAATTACTATAAAAATAGTATCCTCCAGAAAATCTTGTATTGTGTGCTGTGTTTCTAACATACGATTGTGTTTCGTTAATGCGTGTATTTGAACAAAATTGAGCCACCTGCTGCGAAGTTTAAATATTATCTAGAACTTTTTTAGAAGTGTATATTTCTTAGTTGTCTTTTTTATATTTTTCCAATATTTCGCAATATATCATAAGTTAGTTACAAAGAAACATTAAAGATTTGTTGGACGTTTACAATTCAAAAGATAATGAAACATAACCAGCAAATGTATTCAAAGATTTTCCTTCTTGTGTATATTCACTAAAATTTAAAGAAACCAAAAACAACTCGAGATTACAATTTTCTTTGATATCTCGATACTACATTTATAGTTTTTTTTCCCTAACAAATTGATTGACAAAGATTATTTTGACGTTGCAAATTTATTGAATTACACAAATTGAAGCTGGTCTACCAATGAATTGTGAGAAGCCATCTTGGAAAATCCTTTTTGGCATTTCGAACGAATGAAGTGTCAAATATCGATAATTATTTCATCTCACGCGATTGAAACAAAAATTTTTACGAGAATTAAATCCTCTTTAAAAAATTAGATTTTTTTATAACGATCTGGAAACTGAAATGTAAAAATCAATTTCGCGCCATAAAATAGTATTATTCGATAGTCGCGTTTAAAAGCAAGAAAAATATAGAGACGAGTTGCGATACAAATAACTCGAATAAGAAAGGGATAGGAGAATTTTTCTGTTGAAAGTTGGAAATAATATAGGCAAGACGGCTTCGCAAAAAAAATCGTCTAAGAAGATGGCGGAGACCAAAGAATTAGAGGTGAGTGAAGTATTAAAAGTGGTGCAGTGCAGTTAGATTATGTGTGAAATTTTAGAGAAAAGTCGGCAGATCTGCATTGTGAATTTGTCATGGTTATATCCGGATTATCACTGATTTATTTGCGTCAGTGAATTATATTACTAGACGCTTAGTATATTGTTGAGCGCGTTTTTTTCTTCGTTATACTTATTTTTTTTCTTCGGTGAAGTATTAAGATTAATCGATAGGATTTTTTTTTTCGTTATATTGTGCTTATAATTATGTTTCATTTGCCGGAAAAGATGTACAAAAAACGTCGGTCCCTTCGTAATTACAGGTAACCTAAACATTTTCTTTTTTTGAATCTTCTCGTTGTTTCTTTTTTTTTTTCTTCTCGGTTAATTACATGTATTTTGTTCAGACATAACAAAATATATAATAAAAATATATAATATATAAAGTATAAATTCTGTATCATTGTGTTTCTCCCATCCATACAATATGGAGAGAAATACTTTATATGATTGTCTTTAGAATAGAAAACTTGAAGTATGATCTTTATGCCTGGTACTTTAAATTTTATTCCACATTTCTGCAATTATGTTTATACAAGCCAATATAACAGATAAAGTATTTATGTAATTGGATTGAAATAAATGAAATAGAATACAGATTAAAAGATTCTTTCTTTTTTTTATTAAATTATTGTTGTTTGTAAGATGTATTTTTCTTTTAAAATGTCAGTTTAGAATAAGTGTACTATATGAAATACATGCATGCTATACTTTTATGATTGCAGAATATGATATTGAGTTTTCGAGTGTCTGAACTTCAGATGCTTCTTGGTTTTGCTGGTAGAAATAAATCAGGTAGAAAAAACGAATTACAAGCACGTGCTCTAGAATTGTTACGTTTGAGATCCCATCCAATTCAGCTCAAAATACGTGAATTATATAAAACCATACAGTGAGTATAAAATTTACTAATGACAATACAGTTGTTAACTATTTCTGTTATTGTTTGTCAAACTTTTAAATATGTACTTTGTTTGTTTATTTTATTAAAGTAATTGAAAAATATTTTTCTCTTTATATTTACTATGGCATATTGTTATACTTTAAGTATTATATTATTAAATATTAATGAAATTATATTGAGACAAGGTTCTATAGTCATTTTTTGGTATCAAAATTTTGTTTAGAGCTGAACAATTAGCTGCACATCAAATATATGGTCAAACAGGTAGTTCTGGAGAGCCACAAATAGATCAAAACATGCATTCCAGAAGTTATTACACAACAAGGTGAGCATATAAAACAAGTTAATAAATTTATGTGAGATAGCTCTAATTAATTATGTAAGTTAAGTTTAATAATATTTTATTTCCAATTAATATAAAGACAAGCTATTAGTCAACAACAACAGTCACAGTCTTCAGTTTCCAGTGGAAAGGATTTACCACCTGCACATCAAGCCTCTCTACCTCAGGCGCCTAGGACCAATCCAGTATATCAGTCAACAGGATATACTAGTGTAACACCACAAGTAAGTTATTAATAATATTTTATATTATATGTAGAATACTTGTGTATTGTTTATAATGGTTTTTTATTGTTCGTATGACTTATTCACATTTCAGCAAACAGCAAGTGCAACTTATAATCCATATCCATATGCACCAAAAGTTTTACCATCACCATTGCAGATACAACCTAGGAGTCAGTATCCAGTTCATCCAGATGTTAGGCTTAAAAAACTACCATTTTTCGATTTATTGGCTGAATTGTTGAAGCCATCTAGTCTAATGCCTCAAGGATCTATGAGACTTCAAGAAAATACATTTGCATTTCATTTAACACCACAGCAATCAACAGATGTAGCAAGTTCCCGAGATTGTCGCGCAGGAAGTAAAATGGATTATACAGTACAAGTACATTTGGAGATATTGTTTCTTAAAACAATACAAATTTGTATATTTGGATATTCCGCAATCTGTATTATGGATTTCAGATACAAATGCGATTTTGTTTACAAGAAACTTCGTGTGAACAAGAAGACTGTTTTCCACCAAGTATTGCTGTGAAAGTTAATGGAAAACTATGTCCTTTACCTGTAAATATATAGAAATATAAAGACTCTTTATTATGTTGTTTTCTTCCCTCTTACATTAAAATTATAGTAAGATGTTTCACTTCTAAATAAAAAGTTTTATTTTTGTTTCAGAATCCAATACCTACCAATAAACCAGGAGTAGAACCAAAGAGGCCGCCACGGCCTGTCAATATTAGTCCGTTAGTTAAATTATCTCCTACCGTAGCAAATCAAATTCACGTAACATGGTCAGCAGACTATGGAAGACGATATGCAATTGCAATATATTTAGTTCGAAAACTTTCAAGTGCTGAATTATTATCGAGATTAAAAAATAGGGGAGTTCGACATTCGGATTATACAAGAGGTTTAAGTAAGTAGTTGCAGGTAGCATTTCATATATTTTGTATTGAAAATCAATGCAATTGAAATTATGATTTCTTTAGTTAAGGAAAAACTTAATGAAGATGCAGACAGTGAAATAGCAACAACGTCGCTTAGAGTGTCGTTAGCTTGTCCGTTAGGGAAGATGCGAATGTGTACACCATGTCGTGCGTCGACATGTTCACACTTACAATGTTTTGATGCCTCGTTATTCCTTCAAATGAATGAAAGAAAACCTACATGGAATTGCCCAGTGTGTGATAAATCGGCGTTATATGATAATCTTGTTATCGATGGATATTTTCAAGAAGTTTTAAATTCTAAGAAACTATTACCAGATGTAAATGAAATTCAATTGTTGCAAGATGGTTCCTGGGAAAATTTGGTTCCAAAGAAAGAGAAGGATAAGGAGAAGAGTGAAACAAAAGTCATTACAAATTCGCAAGATCGTAAAATCGATGTGGATACTGTTGATTTAGGTGAGTTTTCATTTCATGTGTTATATATTTAACATTACAGATCACATTTAAAAATATTTAAAAATAAATATTCTTATATTGATACGATCAGATAATTATATCATTGTTTAGATGAAAGCAATCTTACACCTCCAAAACAAAAGAAACGAGCTGAGATTATTGATTTAATATCAGACAGTGATGACGATGATGAACATACGACACCAACGCAAAGTATAAAAAAGATGACTAGTGGTACTTCTTCACCAAAAAAGTCACAAACTAGTTCGATCAGCAGTACAAGTGAATCACCAGAGTTGATGATAATTGATTTAGAATAGGATATTTATAGCTATTATAAAATTGCCAAATTTTATACAGAACGAAAACCAAAAGTTTGTTAGTTCTGTGATCGTCTTACGAGGAAGTCACCATGTAAAAATAAGTGTAAATGAAATCATGATCAAGTTTTTACTTTTGGTACTTAAAATTGGAAGAAAAGCGAAATAATATTTCTTTCCTATGTATCAGTACGCATAGAACTCCTATATCATTTCAATGGATAAAGGAAAAGAAAAATAAATTGACGTCACTAAAATCAAACTAAATTTAGAATAAAATATCTTAATATAGTTTTCATCATCGTAAAAAAAAATTATATAATTTCATTCAAAACAAAATATTTTTATTTTGTAGTTATAAGCTTCTTATTAGCCTTGCTATGTTAATGAAAGAGTAAAATATAAGATGTAGATATTTTTATTAGTTTTTATTAATGTTCAATTTAAGAATCGTCTCGAAATTATTTCTTTACTAAGTTTTTGATTGATTACGGTTAATAAGACTGCTGAGACTATATTTACTATAAACTTTCTATTTATGAAAGTCGACCTGAATTTATAAAAAATAAAATAAATAAAATTCATATGAATAAAATACTAATAATTTAACCCTTTCGCGGTGGCAATACTAGTCTTCAATAGTGCTCCATTAAATGTGACGTCATATTGTATCATACATATTTTCTACTTGGATAGTCTTTTCTCATTTCTTATGTTAATTAGTATACGAGCTGTTTTACACTCTTGTACTAATTCTGTTTAATAAAAACATTTTTAAAATAAATAATAAATCTTTAATTTTTATTATTTATTGAAAATTAAGCTGAAAAAAATAATATAATTTAATAATATTCTTTGGTGCGAATATTATATAATATATGTTATACAATTATATAATATTTCTTTCGTAGATGCTGGACATAACAGGCATTATCCGCAGAAGGGTTAATGCTTTTGTATTATAGTTTTTATACGCGAATCACGAGTTCCACGAATATTAGAATTTATTCTTCATCTTGTAAAATCGCATTTACATTTGGATACATATAATTGCGAAATGATATTCCAGAAAGTTGTTGGTCCACAGGTTCTCTTGTATCATATAAACTTGGTGCTTGAAATATTATGCCAAGTGTTCCACCAATACATGCCAATGTAAAAACCCAAAGAAAAAGTCTATCTAAAACCATAGCTACGAATTTCCAATCTTCTATAACCTGCAAATATTAAAAAATATGCAAGGAAAAATTTAATATTAAAATTAAAATTATGATATATTATTTCACATTAAAATTATGATATATTATTTCACATATATTTTTTAAGAAAAGGAGAATGTAAGAATTAAGTTTTTGAAAAAAGTATCAAAAGTAAAACATATGAATAATTAAGCAAATTGTTGTTCCACTTACTTCATTATCTTTGTCTGCATTTTTTATATGTTGAGCAATAAAACGCACACCTTTTAGAGCTGATATGACATCAGGAGATAAGTGTCTCGGCATCGTATTTTCGCTATCAGTGACTGCAACCGTATTTCATTGTTAGCATTATATATTTAAGGAATACATGACATCATGTCATTCTTTATACGTGTCATGTAATTTGCATATGACAAAATATTGTATTCATTGCTTGGTTAATGAAAATGATTTAAACTATAATGTATTGTCATTATAAATTTAATAAATAAAATTTTGTATCATCTGTATTATATATTTTACATCAAATAGTTGAAATATTTACCTGATGCATGTGGTATATGGCGTGCATCATCTTCTCGTATGTTTTTATACTGCGAGGTGACACTTTCAAATCCATCTGGACTTCCTTTCAATTCCAGTGGGTAATCACTAACGCTATTAGAAAAATTATAATATATACTCTTGAAAAGTTCTCTCTTTAAGTATTTGATAAGTAGTGTAATTACCTAAAATCTATTTCATTGGTATATCCGCTATCCATATACGTGTCATCGTATTCCGGCGTTGAATACGGTGTCCGACGCATCATTAAAATTCGCGGCATCCAATTTAAAAATACTTGTCTAACCCATGGTGACATATTGTGCGTAGATGGAGATCTATATAAGACAGTTATGCATAACTTTAAATATTTTATAAATAGAATAGTATAATTAGTATATTAATAATTATATTTATTAACTAGTATATTTATAATTACTAAAATACTAAAAGACTACTACAATGGAGATTGTTTACCGAAAATGAACATTTAAAACACATACAGTAATCCATATCGATAAAGTGACTAAAATCATGGTAAATAGTAAATATTTTCCTAAAAGTGGTATAGCTAGTGATGTCGGTGGAATAATTTCGGCTAATAGTAAAAAGAACACTGTTAACGAGAGAAGAATGGAAGAACATAACGATACCTGTAAAAATTCAATTTTTTATACAAATTTACGTAATAAATATATTATTGGTCTTTATAATACTTACTTTTTCTCCCGAATCACTTGGTAGATAAAAAACAAGTACTGTAAGGAACGTAATACCCACGCAAGGAATTATTAAGTTGACTGTATAGAATAACGTCTTCCTTCGCATTGTAATATTAAATGTAATATCTGTATAAATTTAAATGAATTTAAACGAATTTTGTAAATTTTGTATCATTGTTAAAACACAGTTGCCAATATACATTCACTTGCTTACCAGAATATGGTTCTGTGCAACATGGATAGTATTCTTCGTTTCTGGATGCTGGTACTTCCAAAATGTCCCATTCAACTGACAAGTAAAAGTCGCTCAGATCTATCCCCATTGCAACCAAATTACTACCAGGTTCTTGTTTCATATGTTTTAGATCCACCTGTAAGAGTTTAGTAAAAGTTTTTACAAAGTATACTTTCGGATAAATAATATTCATTTATAACATCCTTGAGTTATAACCTGAGCGCCGTTATACGTCCAAGAACCAAATTTCATAATACATGACTGTTCGTCGAATGGGAAGTATTCCACATTAATCTCACAGGATGATTTGTAAATTGCGGGCGGTTTCCAAAATACCTCACCGTTATACTTTAACGTAGCCTTTGTCATAAGCGTTACTTCGTAATTGCCGTCAGCGCTATAAAATTATAGGTCATTGATGTTCTTCTTTGTAACCGATGGAATTAAATACTTGTTAATAAGTTGTAATATAAACTAATAATAAAGTTTACTTATTGTATAGGACAATATCTGGTAGCCAAATATTTTCGGAAGGCACGTATAACATTTCCACGCCACCGTATTCTTCTGGATTCCATCGTAGTTTGTAGTCAATCCATTTCTATAAAAGCATAATGTTGACAACGAACAAAGCATATTTATAACTCATAGGAGTAGTTTCTCAATAGTTTTTACCTGTTCTACCCAGACGTTGGTAGTCATCACTTGATTTTTCAAATTCTGTAAATTAAAAAGATATCAGTAATACATTTATCGAATGAAGAATATCGTGATCGAATATGTTATGATTTCATACCATTTCGATTAGTTGCGAGAGCTTTAAACCAAGCCAAACTGTTAAGGTTTCGGTATTGTTAATGACAGGGCGTATAAGTCTATTATAATTCGACAATAAGTCATCGTAAAGTCTCTTTGTATCAGGGTTTGCCTCGTAAATTTTTAACCCAGCAGCACCTGAGAGGAAGTGTAAATCTTTTCAGTCATAGTTTTTACATTAGCGAGAGGACAATTCAATACGTCGTTCTCAACACACACGGCGATCAAATTCTTACGAAAGCCAAACGATCCTAAAATACTTATGACACAAAAGGGTGACAAACTTACCGTATATAATATGAAAAGTATTAAAAAGAACACCAAACGTCAATATCCGCATTTTAAGCGTAACTATTTACAAATTTGAATAGGGTCGAGATGGCAGTGACCACTCCCAGTAAAAATAACTTCACCTGCTGACACCGTATACAACAGTATTTAAGTTAACCTTGTTAAATATAGAAAGAATCGATATCATGTCAAGTATTTTCCTTACTGGCGACAAGTAGGAAACGTTATCAGTAGAATACGAGCGTTCTGCATCCTACTGGACCAAAATCGATATCCGAAGTTAGCGCCATGACACTTGCTCCAGGTTGCACTTCGATGTATTTCGTCTGTTACAGATTCGCACACCTTCCCCCTTCCTGCGCATGCGTGGTGATGCGCGCACATCTTTTTCAAATTGTCCACAGATTGGCGCCTTCAGTCAGCACCAAATTACGTGCGCGTGTTTTTCGTCTCCGTTTTTCGTTCGAATTTTCACAGATTTAAACCGTAAACATTCACTTGAATGCATTCACAAAGGTAACTTAAAGGTATTAATAGCTTTTTTTGAATCCTATACTTTAATTAAGTAGTAAATATTACTTGTTTCAGCGTTTTAGTACAGATTTCTTAATGTTCTACAAACTGTTTTGCTTGTCAAGCAGCGCACTCTGTACTACCAGTTGGTAACTGTACTAACGGTTAGTTGACTCTTGAATGTTATTTTGAAGTTTCTTCCAAAAATTACATTAGCAGAATATCAAAATAAAATGGTAATTAAACAAATTTCTTATTAATATAATTATAAACAAGGTATTCGAGGTTTCCTATTTTTTTATCGGAAAATGATATTTTGTACTGTTACGTGTTACGTAATCGTTTTGGCGCGTATTTTTCTCAATAATCGTTTCTTTTTTATCAGACGCCATGTTTAGTATGTGACTTTATAAAAAGTATTTTCTGAATTTCTTATTAGCTGTTTTTACGTGATTAACTTAAATAGTTTATACTTTGTTTATCAAGTGCGATCAATAGGTACTTCCAGGAAAGGAATTGAACACTCAAAGACAACCTACTTAACGCTTTGCTCGCAAGAGGTTAATTAAAAGTGAAGCGTAACAATCGATAAGCGAGAAAAGGTAGAGCATTGACATCAGTCCACACAACATAAATACATGGTACGTAAAAGAACGGAGCCAGATTGGATTAAGGTTTCGTTACGAAATTTTAAAACAATACTAAAATCTAACAATTTGTCAATTTCATGAATTTATAAATTCATTTAATCAAACCTAAGAATTCTCTCGTAACCTAAGAATTTCCTTCATCCTTTTCTAAAGCATCGATCACAGTATAAAACCACGTTCATATTTCAGACAACGGTCGCGTGCCTAGAAAACATCGTAATTATGTCAAACGAGTAACTGCGAAAGTGTAAAGTACCACAGCCATGTTGCAGCGAGAATTACGCTTAAAACGGAGATGTATGCTCTTCTCAAAAGTAGCATCCGCGGTGTAACAACAGTCTTGCGACCCGCCGCCGCACAACGTACCACGTACGATTATCGATCAAGGATACGTAAACAGTCGTAGTATAGTTGCGCACACGCGGCGACCAGGCCACTTAGCGTATGTTTGTTTAGTACCTTTTACGACTATATCGTTCGGGCATGTGTTAGGTTACGAAGGAGCCAGTGTCTGGCGCATAGCTGAGGGTTGGGTGGCACGGCGCCGTGCTTCGAGAGGGTCATTTATAACTGTTATCGTGAGACTTACTAGCCCACTTACTACCTCCGCTGTGTCTATTCTCCACCCACTCTTCTACTCTACTGGAAGAAATGTAAGCGCGAGATGCGCCGGTCCACCGAATCTGCTGGTCATTCTGTCACGTCTTTTTTTATTCGATCATTCTGTATCGCGCCAGAGCGTCTTTGGGGAGAATCCTTGAATAACGTCATCCCTCTATGATATAGATCCTTAGGTAATTCCATGTTTTATCGTTCGATGTTTCTTTCTTTTCTCTTTGCGACAAAGATTTATGCCCGTTTACTATTCTTGTTTCTTTTCGTTAGTTAGTTAATTGTCCACTTGTCCACTGATGAAATTGTAGTCTCGAGTTCCGTTTCGGTCTTTCGTAACGAAGTGGAGAGTTGTTGGGTGTATTGTTCAAGTACAAAATCATTAGCGACGATTTCGTAGTCGAGAAACTATGGGAAAGTAGAGAGTAGGTTATTTTACGTAAAACGTATAATTGTTGTCGGGCCAATTACAATCCTGTTTTCATTAGCTTTCGGACTTGTAACTATAATAGCTGTGCACACGGTTCTAATCCTTTGTTCTGGCAAAGTCACATTGAGTGGCGAACTGACTGAACTGAACGCCAACTTTGGGCACATAGTGTTTATGGTTAGTAATATGCTAGCATTACATAAATAGCATTACATAGCTACGTACGAACTTTCACCTTGAATAAGGTTATTATTAAGATTATAATTGTTGACGTTAAACGTTGTCGCTATGTGTTTTTCTAATCCATGTTTGCTGCGAAAATGTAGATTAGAATGTTACGACCGATTGAAATCTCATTTCACACGAATTGTTGTTCGGGTAGTCTAGACTGATGTAGATAAAACTGGCAGCACCTGAAACCTATTGCATTTACAGCACCTTTCGTGTTTGTCGAACAAACGTGGAATCGTTGATATCGCGTTCGTGGCTGTTCCACGGCCATATTTATACAGCGTTTACAGGGTTGAAACAGAGTTTTATTTATTAGGGTAGGTTTCGCGTGAAACGAGAAAGCGTCGCGACGTTGCTGTTACAATCGATAGTTGGTCGTTATCGGGGACATTTCTCATTGCGTTTTTGTCCGTCGCTCAGGCCACGGAGCACTTAATCCTAATATGGAAATATGTCGTGCACTCCGCAAGCCGACGATTAATGCGAATAAATCGATTTTTGGCGTAGGGGTACGACGGTTGCCGCCAAATCCTGGAAGCCACGCCAAGTGGCGGAAACACGGGAATTCCATCTGGATTTACTAAGATCAGTGCCATTTAATGTGGAGCTCGATAAATCCCTTAAAAGCTGGTGGTCCGCAAGAAGACGGCGCATTACAATTTTCCAGAAAGGAGGATGGCGAACGTCTAGAGGAGACGCAGACAAATCTGCAAATGCAAGGCTTCAGGTGCCAAATGCTTTCATCGTATAACGTGAGTAACTGCCTTCCCTGTTCGCTGTCCCACATCGATCGCAATCTACGCGAATCGCAGAGCCATTCGAAAGTAGAAAAGAGTTTTACGAATATGTATCGTTTAATCTGATCGCGTTACAAAAACGGATACAAATTCGACTGGTCAATCAATACGTGGTATACAAATGCGTTAATATATTGATTTTTTGGAACGTACGCAGGCACCAAGGAGCTGCAAGTTGAATACGAAAATGGAGATATATAAAATAAATAAATTTTCTTTCACGCAGCTGTTTATTGTTTGAAAAGGGATATCGCGTCTACGATTTTATTACTCTCGATACTCCAACTGTTTTGGAGTAACTTCAAATTCCGATACAGGTGTTCAACTTGTTCGTTTGCACATATTTTCCATTTACATAATTCATCGTGCGAAACTCCTAATTGCCTCTTCAACTAAATTACATTTCCAGAATGTTTAATTTGTGACGAATTGCTCTGCGCTTGACCTCCAGAGAAACCACCGGAGATTCTACACGTATAAAGATACACGCGCGAAGCGGGAATCTCCGCGACAATCTCTACCGCGCCGTTGTAATCTCTACTTTTCACACGAATGTTTTCCGCGAAAGTGGCGCGCAATCTCGGTGAAGAACCGGGAGACAGGAGCCGCCGTTATCCATGGTCAGGATCGTTTCCGTGCAACGTTAGCTAAATGTCGTTGCTTGCTTATGATTTCCATAATTCCGTACACTTCGTCCGTCGCAGGCTCTAAAGAGCCAATATCGAGCAAAGTAGGTGTGTACTTTAATTACTAGAGATAATTACGTCGTCACCGGCTTCAGTGAGGGATAGAGGTTTACTATGATAACAGAGTATCCAATATCCTGGTGAGTTACGTAGCGAGCACGGCACAGCCCTCGTGCATATGTATTCCGCACGTACGCACCCTTCATGTATGTATTTACTATCGTATGCACGCCAGCACATGCCAGCAGCTCGCGTTTGACCTCCATCCGTTATTAATATAATTATCCTCCCGATTATTGTCTTACGGTTGCTGCATTTAACTGCGGACCTACGATATCCGCACCTGCTTCCCGGTCGCCTCGTCTGGGAATTAGTGTCTTGGTCACTCGCCTTCGAGCGATCTATCTTTGCGCAGATTCGCGTTGGCTGCTTGAATTTTCCATCAATAATTTTCGTCTCAACGATCGTCCCATTCTATTTAGGATCGGGGAATCGATCGGTTAGAAAATCTAGCAGGCATACTGCGAGATTACTACATTTCGCGTGCACGGATATTCTTAGAATTAGCCCAGCGATTGATCGAAGAAAAGGTATTAAGTATGTAACAATTGATTGATTGGGAAATACGAAATTAAATTAACGTAAAATTTATGCACCAGTTACTTACAAGTCTGACTGTATTAAATTTCATGTGTGATTTAATATTAGTATCTTTGTGCAGCTGTGAAACTATGACGCTACGAAAATCGATATAGCCTGATAGAAAGTAGCACAAGTTTTAGTATTCGCATCTCCAAGTTCGTATCACTGTGACTTCAACGACGTAATTGCCATGACGCAGTTGGCGCGATAGAGTTGACAAGGGCAGGATCGGTGGCAGGGGAGGCAGGGGAGTAAGAATGCGCGGAGAATTTTCGGGGTGATATGCGGACGAGGTGGCGCGGAGTATTCCCGCGTGCGCAGCGATAGGACGAAAGCCACGGGGGTAGCACGTCGGAATAATTTATTTAGCTCGAGCAATGTAATAATGGCGGGTTTGCGCCGAGTGCAAACTGCAGAACGCGTTCATTACTACTTTAGTCGAAAGTGTATGGTGCGGACAAACGGGCAGGGAGCGCGTGTACGGAGGATGGAGCCACGCGATGTGGGTGGAGACACGGTGGTATATACAGGGTGGTTAACATCGTACCGGATCGGCGAGTTGCAATGTGCGGTTCACCAGACGGTGATATTACCAACGTTAGATACACTGACCGGTTCAACGGCTTCGAACAGGACCGACAATAATTTTCGATTCCTGTTAACAATGTCCAACTATTTTTATCCCGACCGTGGGATAAAAATCTGCGCGTTACATACGTACGGACGTGAAAATTTTGTTTACGTCATTTTTTTTTCTCTTTC